TTCCGTGGCCATCCGCCATAGCCCAAGGACATGAAGCCCTAGTGACGGTTCCGGGCTTTACCTCAAACCGGCCTGCCATGTCGTGGCAGCTCTGCTGCCTCTCCATATTCATTATTCCGGCCCTACACTTCCTGTAGTTTGAAGTTTTTGTTTTTGTCACGCTCCAGTCAGGAAGCTCTTTGTTATGCCCTCACTTGTATTGTTTTCTTTGCCCGCCACTTTTAAACCCTAACGTTCAGATCTCGTGCCATCTGATATGCTCTCAAAAGGACATAAAGAGACCTTGTAATTTTGGATTCCTACCCATGCCACCTCAGGTGTGATAAACTCTACTCCATTAATGTTTACTGCTTACGTCACTTTCCCTTTTCCCATCACTCACAAACCTCACCAGTCATGCCTTTATTCTGACTGTAACATTATGATCATGCCCGACGGTATGCTACCCACTAGTTGGGAATTATTATTATTATTATCATTGGGGAAGCCTGTAATATTCAATGCTTTACCGTGTTCTTTTGTCCCCCGCGCTGTCTGCGGTGATACTTCTGTATCTTACTCATATTTAACGAGTACCTTGCCGTTACTACCAATGATAGATCTTTACTGCAGGTTCAAGCCTGTACCCGAAATAGGAAAGACCACTGATACATAGCATGTCCTACTTCTCGCACCGAAGCCACCTCGAGGTATAACCCACATATCTCCATCCCGAGTAATCCAGGGACTGGTTATCAGCGTCCACAATCCATATACCATCCCGTTGTTGCGGCGAAAAGTAGTTCCACCAGTAATTCGGGTAAACATATATTTGTTCCCACCGGGACCCGTTATTTTCGCCCCCATTATTACCACATAATATTTTCTCACTACTAGCAGTTAGCTGTCTACATCCGCAAGTTCCCCTCACTTGCAAGCCACCGGCATGGTCAGCCACACAATACAAAGGACTATCGCCCATGGATCCTACAACCCCATCTATGTACACAGACTCTTTGCCGTCACACCATTTATCAACCACCTGTAGTGTCAAGCAATCGAACTTCTACCCTCTACTAACATAGGTAGATGCCTACCCCACCCGTGGAAAAATGCGCATTTCACGACGTCATTTATAACCCACCTGCCTTCCGATAGCTCATTTTATCTCCTTCCAAAACTGTGATTAAAAAACGATTTCTGCGAACAAAAATCTTCCTTTAGTACATCCACAACAATTGTGCAATTTCATTTGCCGAACGTACGAAACACGTCATCTCGTTTCGCCCTATTTGGTACTGTTACCGATCTTGGCTATCCTCTTAGCTGGGAGGAAATCAGCTTGCGATCCAGACGAAAGGGTTGTGGCTATGTACTTACTCACATAGAAGCGTCCTAGTTTTTCGGGCGTACATGCTCCTTCCATTGGTTTCGCGCGTCCAGACACCGTTCCACTCCTTTGATGGAGAGTTATTTACCAACCCTTTAGCCCACTTCACTCGTCCATTCACTGGGGGATTTTTCTCCTGAAAGATCTTATTTTCGTATTGCCAAATTATGAATTCTAGTGACCTGACTGATTTTGCAATAAACTAATGATCCCTGTATTTTTATTCCAACATCTTGGACACCCTACTCACCGCTATATATTACTAAAATTACTTGCAGTCCAGTGAGGTCTGTTGTGGCTGATGCATTCTATCCAGGATCAGCATCATGCAAAACAGTGCTCCATAGTCAGAGACCTCTGCCGCATTGGCGGTTCTGGCATCCTTAATCATCGAGATAGTCACAGGTCCCGGTACGACCCCGGTGTACTCCATGGTTGATGTCCCATATCTGCGGTTGGAAAAGAATGTAACACGCGTACTCCTCAACTCAGTATTCTGTAACGACTTTCAGCGCACTTCATTCCCGCAGTGATTTCCTTACTCTCAATCCTACTCCACCATTGTTGCTTTAGTCGGCTCCATTTCCAGTCCTGGTTTATGTTGCATAAAATTGGCTGTCACAGCGCTATTTAGATATATTGTTGCTTTAGTCGGCTCCATTTCCAGTCCTGGTTTATGTTGCATAAAAATTGGCTTCACAGCGCTATTTAGATATGTCTCCTGGAGCTGAGAATGCCTAGCTTGAAGACTCTATAGCATAACCAATTATTCGCATTTTTTGCCTTCTTCACGGAGGCGATCGATTGTACATAATGTATATAAGGGCATGAACATGTATGACCATACCAGCTATCACAATTAAATTCAAGTCCAACTCGTATAAGCGAGCCGATCGACCGGTCGATTCTCACCATGAACGAGCTGCCACAATCCCCTCGCCATAGTTTCCTTCACGTCTGCACCCTCTAAAACTATCTAGCTATTTTTCATTGATACTACACCGCGAAAGGGAGTAACCTGGTTGAATTGCATTCCATTCGATTTCCCGACTTCATTTGTTATGATGCCGCATGCCTTCAGTACGGGTCATAGAGTAGCGTAAGTTTGCGTGCCAAATGATACGCTGGTCTACCCCATTTGTGTGCTACCTGTGAGTTAAAGTAAGGTACTGCAAGACTGCTTCGTCTAATCGACATGTTCCAATTTGCTCTGTCTTCAGTTTCGAGCAACAATGTCGCCGATGGCACTCAGAAAATCCTGATTAATGTATGGGTAAACAATCCAAAATGTGAGTAAACTAGCGGTTAATTGTTAGAAACCATCCACGTTCCATTCAACCCATCAAAATACAGTCAGAAATGAACCCATTAGAAGAATGCACCAACACATCCAGACCCGAAAACAGGCATACTCAGATCCACCACAAGTATCCTAGGTTCCAGGCGATATCCATCCTTCCTTCTCCTAATATTTTTCTTGCCCTGATAAAGAGCAATTAGAATGACTAGTTTCATGCACCGTGCGTTACCCCCGTAGATCACAATAATATTCTTACCTGCTTACACTGTTGCATCCACTCCACATGGGTACAATATACTAATAAGTGACTTGTCCGTCTAAAGCGAACCCACTACCCTACTAGCGTATCTTGTCCAATCAAAGGAGCCCGTCAACCGGCCTCTCATTAAGTGCTTCGCATACTTAGGTCCCTTATTTACACACCGTCCACTGGAAACTCGATCTGCAATATTCGCTCTCCCTCTCTCGTTCGTAATTCCAACTGCGTGACCTCTCAAAAAATCTCTTTCCTAGCCTGTCTAGAGGACTGTCTTCCCGTTCCTAATGAACCAACTTCTCGAGCCGCTCCTCGTATAAGTTTTAAAATCAGGTTGACGGCGTCCTTTAAGCTGTAGTCTTTTTCCACAGCTGCGTCTACAGTTGACCTAACGGTTTTATTAAAAACCGAAGGATTCATAATCTAGTCCCACTGGATTAATGTTAAGCCGTGTGTAAGTCACTTGCATGACAGCATCTCACCGGTTGGCATCTTTCTACGTGCAGTTATTTGAACATTTTCATCCATATTGCGTTCTGCTGAATGTCACAGGTGATTAGGGGGCTACTGGGCCGCACGATGCTCCTAGCTGAAAAAACCTTGCGAATGGAGTGAAACATTTTGCGCTAAAATTCTGTATTCTGTTGCGCATACATTGAAACGTAAACCGCTCCAAACTGCGCCCATTTTTTCAGGTCACCCAATTTCATTATGCCCTGAAGGAATCACACCTCTGGCAGAAAATTCTGGTCAAATACTTTCGTGGCGTTACTGGATGCTTGAATGGGGCTCGATTTTTAGACTGGTGTTCACGGGTTCACGAATTCACTGGTTCATACATTCAATCGAAGCTTTTGCCCAAGCTTCTCGGGTCGGTTTTGTTAATGTCGTTTAATGGTTGTCATTCACCGGGGGGCGCAAGTAGAATGAGGCTGTAGCACTGCTCATCAGGCAGCGTGCTTGCCTGCACGAGGACTCGCGTAAAAAGTGTCTAATTTGAGCTGGATTCTAGAAGGAACGCAGACAGTCGTCGGAGGAAGGTTACTTCACGTAGCTACTAACCGAAGTGAGAATAAATGTTGCCTGATAAAAGTGTGCGCTCTGAGCTTGAAAATTTTCTTACCGTGTCCCCGCCGTGTGTTGTTGGGCCAATAGCGAGGAACCTGCTGGTCATCCCTTGTTCAAACAGGGCATGGGTAAGAAGCGAGTTTTTACCGACACAAGCACATTCCAGGGGAAAGAGGTCGAGCACTGCGAGACACGTTTCATAACTCACGGTTTTGAGGCCCGCAGCCAATCTCGTAGTAACTTGCTGGACACGCCCAATGAGGAGACGTCTCTTGTGCGTCCCGGGTAGAAAACTCGGCTGTCCAACATAGGCCCCACAGAGTATTTGAAAGCCTATGCAAGTAATACGGGAGAAGGTGCGGCGAATTATTCGAAGAACGGTGAATGCCTTTTAGACCGATTTCCCACGGTACAGTGCGAAGGACCTGTTTGAAAAGAGCTAGTTACCGAAATCCTTCTTGGCATCTTTCCTCTTGATGGCTTCTGGTCCTTCCTCACCATGACAAAGGACTTTGTGGATTCTCCCCCAAATGACATGTGGGCATACTTTCTGTCATCCAAAAGAAGTTACCGGTCCAACGACCACTGTTTGCAGCGTCTACGTCCATTTGGAGGGCACCGTCATTGGAAACTCAGGATTTCAGGTCGTCAGCAAAAGGTAGACCTGAACTTGCAGGAACATTTGGAAAGTCGTGGAAGTATATCAGGAACAGAAGTGGCCTTAAAACGGATCCTTGAGGAACTCCAACGGAGACCGGCGCTGGAGAAGAGAAGTCGAGCCTGTTCCCCATGGGAATGATCTCTCGGATAGGAACGCTTTGTGGAGCAGCAGGACCTACTTTTGAGAATTTGAAAAATATGGCATTCGATATAAGTCACACAAGAACGATTCGAGAGAAATCTGTGTTAAGCTGGAGGTGTCAAGTTGTTGGGAGTAAGACGATCTAGGATAGCTCACTTCAGAAAGCGTCCAAATACTTGCGCGCACGCCAGTGAGGCTTATAGGCCAGTAGCTGCCAGGAGACAGTCGGTCAGCATTTTTGTAAATTGGTGTGACAACCGCTACTTTCCAAGCAGAGGGAAGGTCGCCTTCCTCAAGCTGATGACACATCAGGGACATATCGTAAATTTCGAAAATTTAATTACATTGTGTGAATACTGAGCATCGACTTCGCGAACCTTTGTCTTTCTAATAGCGTGTTTGTTTATTGCACTGTGCCCATTATGAACTGACCCTGAGTAATTGTTTTACTCGATATTTTCGCGACCTTTTGAATGTTGTTTCTAATGACGCCCAGGACAATCTTCAGGCGGTGTTACTCATTGGAATGACAACATGTTGAGTATCTCGCTTGAATGTCAGGGCACAGCCAACCGGACAGGTAAACGCTCATTTCTATGCACTATTTTCTACCATGAGTTTTTAATCGGCTTCGAAACCAATCAGCCGCAAATCATAAGTGATGGCTTACAGTGACCCACGCAACAAGATAATATGCAGCACAAGGAAAACAATTCCGATTCGAGCCACCACTTCCAAGGGAACCTTACTATACCGGGCTCGTTTGAACCCGTTGCCAAGCGTGTAGTTTCCACCCAGTGCCCGTACCTTGTAGGCTACAATCCTATATTTTGCTGCTAAACCAACGCCCGGATTCTCCCGAATAGTATTTTTATGGCGCTGGCCAGCCATAACATTTCAAACTTGAATATCGTACGAACCCTAGGAGATTAACTGACTTCTGGTGAACTAGATAAAAAAAAAGGTTCCTTAGTCGACACCTGTAGATCGGTCTTTTCTTCTTGAGACGCTTGCCTACCAAGGAATGCCTCGGACGTTTGTAAACATAATAGGTTCTTTGTATTCTCAGACTTTTGGGCGTGTGAGTGTGTACGGAGAGCTCTCCAAGAGCTTCCGTACACAAAGTGGTGGCCGTCAGGGATACCCACTCTCTCCATTCCTTTTCAACTTCGTGATCGATGAAATCATGAGACGAACGCTGCAGGGTCTCCTAAATCCCGGTGTTCAAATAGCCTGTGAATAGAACCTTGTCGATCTGGAATATGCAGAAGACGTCGTTCTCATGTTCGAAGAGGAGGAGAAGGTTCAGGTGTTTTTGGATGGACTTACCGGATTCATCCCTTCCTTTGGTATGCACTTTGCACCTACAAGGCATAAGGTCATGCTCGTGGACGTGCAGTCACTGAACACGACACATGCAATCCAGGGATAGGTAATGGCAGTTGTGGAGCGTTTTACGTATGTTGGAGTTTGTACTCGTTTTGATTGTAGTGTGACAGATGAGGTGAACGCACAAATCTGCAAGGCTCGAACCGCGTTTGCTAACTTGAGACACCTATGGCGTCAGAATGGTTTATCCCTGAATCTGAAGGGACGTGTGTATCAAGCTACAGTGCGGGCTGTTTTTGTTGTATGGTTGTGAGACTTGGCCTATTCGAGCAGCGGAAGTGAGACGTTTTCAGGCATCCTTCCAGGATGGGGATCGCGTGATCCTCGCTGTGCCTGGTTGGAGACACTACAAGATATGGCTGCCGACAGATGTCAGTGGCGTTCTTGTTTTCAGTTTCTATTCAGATCGTCTGAGTGAATGTCTGGAGGTATAGGCACCTTGGAATGTTTGTGGTAAGCTAGCACTAAGTCCCTCCCTCATCCAGCTTTACTCTTTTCTTTACAATAAGGCCTTCAAATTAATCACGGTTGTACGGCAGTGAAGCATCTGTGTTGAACGCTGATGTCATGCTGTCAATGATGATGATGACCTGTAGACTATGATGGGAAAACATTTGATGGGGATTAATGACTGTCATCGAAGCACACCACACCGTGACTCCCCACTGCACCTTTCCCAAAGTGTTTGGGTTTAGGTTGGTGGTCTAGATGATTATGTCTGAGTCCATTGCACTGGAGTTATCCGGTAAGATAAATTGGAACTGATGTGTATGGAGCTTCACATTTCCACCCCAACTTACGTGTGTCTAGGCTGATTGAAAGACTCTTGTCTAGTATCGCAGTAACTGATGGTGAAGTGACCAAGCTCTGCTAATCCCTCCTATTTTAAAGCTTTATTCAAGTGTGTTGACTCGGTTGTTTGGTGATAAAGTGCTAGCGTCCTCCTAAGGTGTTGCTGTCGATGATGATGGTGATATTGCTACCACCGATATTCAGGGTCAAGCCGGTGCCTTCAGCTGCGGGTTATCTCCACCAGGACAGACCCTACCAGATTGGTGCTCACCTTGTGACAGGCACTTTAAGAAAATCAGGTCCAAACGTACCCACCAGTATGTACAGGCGTACAGGTCCAAGCATATTCAGCGGGAGATTTGGCTGTGTTTGTATAGTCCTCATATCATACTTGCGGCTTGAATCTGTGTGCGCTTTAGCTATAGTACACCCATTTTAGGCACACAAGAAACAATGGTACACCGTATTGCTGCAGCGGTTGTATGAGGCCGAGATGTATCTCCACGCGGCTGTCAAGCTTGCAAAACTTAGTCTCAATACTCATGGCGTAAGTTAACATTTAGCGATTGGATGTGCTTGTGATAATGAGTTTTTGAGGTCTCCACGGACCCAGATTCCCAGATCTTACAACATCCCTTCGCTGGACACGGAATTTCTATTAGTTTGGTAAGTGTATTGGTTCTTAAAGGTGTCAACGTGAATACGCTGACAGTTTGTTTGATTGCAAGGTAGAGTTGGTCACTTGCCAGACACTCTTCAGATCCTGTTGTATTTCAGCGGAATCTGCTAGAGTATCAGCCGGTCGGTACATCTTAGGATGACTGATGCATAACTGACATGTTTAGCTAACTAATTGGAGTTTTCTTATAATACTGATATCATCTGGTACTGAATCTGATACTAGTTATCGAAAATCACCTCCCAGTAAGAACAGTGGTTGATGGAGAAGCAGCAGTCCTTCAAGAAATCTGCTATCCAACTCCTCGAAATTACTTAATGTTGTACTCTTGAAGCACTAGTATCAAGTGATGGCCAACTACCGTGGCAAATTTGACAAAGATGGCATCTGCGTGACAACACGTGTCTGAAGTTCGAACTCACCAGGTGACCATAACAAAATTAGTTATGGGGGAACGCGAAGCGAAAAAATATGCTGTGCACTTGTAAGCAAACCGCTTATCTTAATGTGGCCTAGTAGCATATGCGTTATCTGCTTTTCTATGAGTTTGGTGTCAACTGGCGTAAAGCCGATCTGGAAATTCAATGTTCCGTAATTCAATGGTTAACGTTTATCACTACTTTTGCAGAATGGTTTGCTCGAGGCCATCTTCCATTCGTGGGTTTTAATGTTCTTAAAGTGAACGTGAACAGTGTGAGGTACTGCTAATACACTTGCGAGATGAAAAATGGATAGGTGCAGATCATCTGGTTCCAGAGCTTTGTGTAGGTCTAATTATTGTCAAAGCACAAAAACGTCTTGTTTATTGCAGTAATGGCTGCTTCAGAGGAAGAATGGTTGCGTAAATTATATTGCACTCTTGTCGAGATGGAAATCGACAGGGACTCTTGGTAGCATTAATACACCATATCCTGTCGTACTACACCCAGGTGTGCTCGAGAAGGTAGTCCCACATTGCAGTACCTCCAGCACATATGCGCAGCTTGTCATTTAAAACAGGTGATATTCCAAAAACTACCTTTTGGAAGGATCTATCTTAGTTTCGTATGGTTGTGATTACAGTGGACACAACAAATGCAGACCCTTACCTGACGTTATCAGCCCTCAAGACCCCAGGGATAGAAATAACAAAAACAGCATTTGACGTCATTCTGTATACCTCCGGATTACAAGTTGGGTTCAACATGGGCTCCTAAATTCAAGGCTGTGCATAAATAACCTACTGATGACTCGCAAACCTCGGTTTGAAGTATGGGAGTGTCACAAGTTGACACGTATCACACTTAGTGACTGTAGTAAAACTCTCAGCCGAGTAGATTACACTACGTTAGAATTTATTCCTTGATATTTGTGCTCAATTCCGCATACGCTGAGCTGAGAATCGTTACGTAGGAGCTGAGGAAATTCCAGTGGTGTGTACAACACAGGAATGTTTGCGCAGGGCATTCCCCGAAAACACCCATCTTGTGTTAGCAAGAAACAAACGGCTTAAGACTCATTTGATGTTCTGGAGGAATTCCTCTAGCCGTTTGACTCCCTAAATTTAACATTCATACAATCAGTTGTTCAGTACGAGTATCTAGCCCGTGCGCTTAGGGCGAGAAGTAACTGGAACAGGTACCAAAGCTGGGTTCACAATGATAGCCGGAATTTAAATACCACCCTACAGGTAGTATGTACGCTTAACGCGAAAAAAGCAGTTTCAAATTCTTGTTCGAGGTCGTCTAACAGTATCCATTTGACCCCAGTTGCGCGTGTCATAACAGTAAGACGGCATAATAACAGTTTGAAATTTCAGCGGACAGACGTCCTGTTGCATGTCTACAAAGAAGAGACTTAGGTCTGGAATGGAATTCCACCATGTATGCTAGCCCACGAAAGGACCACCAGATCGGTGTTTCGTCGGACTCACTGGGGCTTCTTCGGGAGATAGGCCTTGTTACCCGTATCGTTTTGATTGGTGGGGAAGAACAAAGAAGGACATCTGCTTTCTACCTTTTGAAAACCAGAATTGGAATCAGAATTTTACCTTCTTTAAGATATGGAAAATCAATTATCTCTCACCGAATTGTGTTGAGGAAAGTAAGGTGAACCCTTTGGTGAAACCGAACGAATCGGATAAGACCCGCAGGAGGCGGAAAACGTCTGTTAACTGCATGCGCTGATGATCGAACCACGAGGTGCTACCACTGCAGTAGGTAGTTGGTCTCTTCTGGCGTTTGGTCGCGCTTCACACTTAGTGAGGTGTTACAGAAGTGTTCACCCAGTTTTTGTGAACCCGCAAAGGCTGCATGACTGCGCTTTCCGTGCACCTATTTCACTAAGATTTCATGTTGGGGAAGTTTCACAATACAGTTTCCACCGTCATCAATCTCAGGTCACCTACGTTGAATGGATGCTTCTTTTTATTGGTCATATGCTCTAAGTTGGGTGGCGACTGTGCTATAGGAGGCGTTTGCAATTCGAAACAGGCAAATGGCCTCCATATTGGTGTAGCAGCGTGGGAAGATAAATGAATCTAGTTCCCTTTGTGAGATAAAGCCTCTCGATTTGTTGGTATTTATCCTTAAATAATTATCAACAAGTATGAATTTTGCCTTCATTCAACGTTCGGTCAAACCAGTACCCTCGGTAATGTATCCTCTGTTCGGAGCTATATCATTCAGGCGATATTTGAACGTAGCGCTGTTCTGATTGCTGTGTGAATGTGGATCACTTCAGAACAATAGTCGTTTAGCTTCGGTGCCCTTTTTATATGTAGTTATCCACCAGTTCGAAGGAAGCAACTGAGATGAGAGTTCCAGCTATCTGAAGACTGGACAGGAGCAACATAGAGGTCATGTTGAGTGGAACCAACATATCGTTTAGTTAGTTGCTTTGCGTCTTAACAGGAGCTGATCTAACCCAATACATAAGCCTCCCCTCCTGAAACAGGCTTGCAGGAGTAAAGTGTGCGATGGATAGGTGCTGACACTAAGAAACTTCCACCAGAAGTTGAGACGCAGGTGCCTACTCTTCGGCGCCACGGAACATCTGTAGGATCGCGGGACCCTCTGGCACCCGGTCTTACCGCTACATTTTTGGGCCATCGGCATACGTTTAAGAGAAACTGATATTGTACTCCATTAAATTGGGATGTTTTTTTAATGGAGTAAGTCCGGTAACTTGAATCCAGTTTGCTATCGGGCTTGGAGTGTACTTCTATTTAATGGGACTCTGTAGACTGAAATTGTCGTCTCTTTCCTAAATAAATTATAGAATAGGCAGCCTATACGTTGAAAATGTTAGTGCGAATCTTTCTAAATAAAGGTAAATTATTTTGTTTACAGTAGTGGAAGGTTTTTTTATCTTCTAAACGTCAACTGAAGCTGTGTAATCCACGAGTTCCTGTCTTAACCAAAGTCTCAGAAGCAATTCGGGTAAATTTATGACCCGAATTTAGGTGGGTAATGATACTTATGCATGTTCTCTGGACCGAAAAGCAAAGGATTTTGCGATCGTACCCTCCGTTCTCTAATAAGGGCTAAGCGAATGACTAATTGATGGAATGACTTCACAATTTCCTTCAAGTGAAACTTCCAGTAAGAGGGTTTTTGATTTATTTTTTTAGCAAACTGCCAACGTCCCTCGTAAAGCTTGGCGATATCCTTTCCTACACTTAGGCATGACCTACCCGAATTCCTTGGTTTTGAAAATTAAAATGGATGAACTACATTATACAGGGAAGTTCACATGTAGTTTGTTTATCAGAAAGCTAGCTATATCAAAATACCGTGGATGCTGAGGTGATACTTAAGGTGGTTCTTGAGGAGCACTCCATTCGCCGGCGCTATAAACTTTGGACCAAATGTGGGATGTAGGATAGAGGTTAGCATTAGATAAACGACTGGGAATCTAGTTTGAAACCAATGACGTAAAACTGTGTGTATTGACAAGAGTATTCTCTTGGTGTTGAGATGCTAGTGAACAGATCAGGTCGATGAGACACCCTACGAATTTTGTAGCAATATCACTTCGGTTGATTTTATCTGCCGAATCGCCAAGTTAGATTGAGGTGACACTGAGGTGTGGTTTTTAAGCAAAGTGATCGATTACATCAATTAGCATACACCTAAAATAAAATAACCGTTCGAAACAGAATCGTTTGATATTACCTCTTGTATTGTGCAGTGGACCTATCTTAGAAGATTCCACCTTCCAGGATATACCAACCTTTATTACTTCCTACAGGTCTTCTCCCAAACAAGAGACGACAGCACTCGGTGATCGTGTTGTACAGAAAACAGTGAGGCGTACAATGAGTAGTCATGTCCAAACTCTTAAGTTGCAGCTACCTTTCAGATGTATACGTTTAGATTTATAAACTCCACAGCCCAACATAAAGAGAGTGAATTTTGCAACGTTAGGTTTGGTTATCTCTGACTTACCGGTTCCACAACTTTCTTAAGGCGAAAGACAACCACGTGTACTTTTGTCACTGGGTGGCGCAGGACTACCGCATCTAGGATCTCAATCAAGTGATGTATTGCAATCGAGTTCTCCTTCCTGTCCTGACGATAAGTGCACATGTTTCATACACCAAAACAAATTCGATTGTGACGCCCTAAAATATTACACTGGTTTTGGTCAGTTCTGTGAATAAGTGGAAGTGTCAACCATTGAATTTTATCAGAGCGCCTTTTGCATTTGAAGCTCATCCATGAAACGCTGCTCCACATTGAGATTCAAGCAGATATTCAACGCAACTTAACCGAGAAGTACTTTTCGCAAGTCAGTCATGGATCGCAGATTGGTAGATTTCACGGAACGTCCGATAAAATCCGTCGTTTATTTGTTTGCTGCCTAATCTGTACCTAAATGTGTATTTGGGTTGAGTTGAATTGGGTTTCTAGTGATGCGCTACAATGAAGCATCCCGTTTGTTCCTTGTAAGTGGTAAACGAGTGAGGTTCAAATACATGGCGGTCGTGATTTACTGAAGCCCAAATAATACAGGCGTTAAAGTGGTGCATAGTCTGAGCTATGCTAATACGTAAGGTAAGTCCTGATATATACAGGATCTCCGCACACTGGACGGGATGTAGTAGCAAAAACAAACGGTTAGTTGCGTCTGCAGGTTGTAGTTAATGGTAGCTAAAACAGTGTATCCGAACATTTATAATGACGTGCTGATTTGGATTCGATGTTTGAACGGTGTAACGGAAAACTGGCTGGGAATTATCCGAGAAATAAAATTCATTTTTCTACTCATCATCGTTACTTTTGAAAGCAAGACGATCATGAAATAGAGCAAGAATCAGCTGCATCAGAGCACTCGCTAGTCTGGAACTGGCCACCTAGCGGTAAGTCTAGTTTGTTGACCCACGTAGTTCACGTAACACCTACTGAATCACACGATTTGTAATAGCCCAGAAGGAATCAAAAGAAAGCTGTAGGGTGATCGGAAAACTTCCACTAGTAAACTTGGTCTCACTCACCCGGTAAACAGTTCTTGGCGTATCACGTCGCGGATCGCGGCTTTTGAAGCAGAAAAGTTTGGAGCGCATTGTAGCTGTTAGTTTGTATAGCAGCTCTACTGCAAACGGTGCAGCAATACTTTGCACCCCTAAAACTGTAAGCATATGAAGTCAGTTTTAAAAAATCGCCATCCAGGTTGCGTATTACTCTGGTTTCTTGTACATACATTGATAAATCGTATGAAATGCTATTGTGTTCCAGTAGTCTCGTTTTGTCCGATTTTCCCCTGGAAAAATTCTTCATTATGCTACGGCAAGTTAGAGGCTTGACTAGAGTCCTGAAGCAGGGTTATTTCCGCCCACCGACGATATCTAGTTGGCTGTGGTTGCATGAAAACATTACACCCGAGAAGAGGATTCGCATATCAGATGACTGTTCTTTTGTAACGGCAACGTTTGGAATTATGTTGATGATGTGCTTATGAAAGCCATGTAAGGCGAATAGTTAACAAGTACGAGAGTGCTTCCCATATATCTTGTCTACACTGTTCCAAAGCTCTTTTCAAAGTGCTGCATTGTTGTCCCTGAGACTAGTTTAGTGAAGGAAAACATCATTTGGTGCCCTGTGTTTATTTGCTGTCAACCTAACTGGATAAGCTCGATTATGTCACGGAGCAATATGATTGATTGTGAAGATTGCATTTACTACCCAGCCAGATTCGTGTTCAGATTTATCAGTGAGTACGAATGTATCTTGCTTATTCGGAATGTTAGTGGACAATTCGGAAAACACCATTACTTCCCATCACCCGATAAAAGGTCACATAATTCACGGGAATCTCGGCAACAGTGTATCTGAGTCTTTTGTTTCCACATAACTGTCAATGTATTTGGCTATCCAGCTTTCGAGTGGGCTGATAACGTAGAGGAATGGTATCATCTAATATGATAGCCTTCCAGTGATGCTCTGAGGATGCCCTTCATTTGTAATATGTGTTGATGTATTTCACAGTTCCGTCCTCCAATTCCTTGGTAGTATCAGCCTGTTGAATATGTGTATGTGGGCGTCCTGTCACTCAGTAAAAATAAGATATAGTGCACTGTATCCTTAAAATATGCTTAACGCCTGGAACTGCAAAGTGCTTCTTTGGTACGTACAGGTCCATTGGGCAGTATAAACCATTTAGTTATAATCTTTTTCCATACTGACGGTCACCAAGCTTAGCAGTTGGTTTGCAAACGTTTCGTTCCCAGTTGGGGAGACATCGACTGATCAACCAGCAGTAAGCACACCCACGTCACCAATATTTCGACACCTCCTTTTTCTTACTACCGATCGAAACGAATGATGGTAACTGGTTGAATTTCGCACTCCCACGAATGCGTCAAACTTGGCTGTTGGTATTTGCCTGCAAACAGTTGCGTGCTAAAAGGTTAAGCACTCATCCAAGATAGTGGACCTTCAACACAATGTCGTCAGTTCGTAATATTAATGACTCAGTAATCTACTTCTACTCGGTACCTTCTTCTGACTGTTCGATAGCCAAAAGAATACAAAATTACCAAACTATGAGAGCAATGAACCTCATTCTTACCGTGTATCCATAGGTTGAAATGGTTGGCGACTGCATACAGAGTACCTTCATAATTTATGACCTTGAAATCACCTGGAGTTAGTTATCAGCTGATCAGTACTGCATGCATTGTTGTTGTTTTTACCCAGTCTCTTATCATCCAACAAGGAGGCAAAGCGAAAGAAAACTAGATTCAACTGGCAGTCCCAACGTCACTCACAAAGCCCTCAGGAAGTCAAAGGAAGTGAAGTCCGGTAAGTTTCAACTCTTTATGTTTGCAGTCCTGAAGTTGGTTTTTTAACGGCTACTTTAGTGTCCTTCTCAGTCCCTTTAAGTTATGCTGACCCTACCGAAACACTGAACCAAGCAAATCGTTCTTGATTTACTGTATTCATCATATTTCATGGCGGGTGGATAAACCTCGGAGTATTCCCAACAATGTAATGCAGTAATACCGGTCGTCAAATCACTTGTCCAAACTATGGACCTCTAGCATCCTTTTACTGAACAGCTGCCGTGCCGTTCACAAAACTACAGAGGGTCGAAGTGCTATCAGGTTGTTAAAGCCTAAACAATACAAGTGAGAAAGCCTGAGGAGATTCGGACCAGAACCTACGTTCCAGCCGGCCGATTGTGCCATATACACCCAAAGCGTCACCACAGCAGAATATCCTTGTGTGCGTACTGCATGATATACTGTCCCAAGTTTGTGCAGTTCCCCGTGGTAACAAAACTTTTCGCTTGACTCTGCTCTGTATACGTTAACCGGGAGGCGGAAAAGGTGTTCACGATTTCTCTTCAAGCCGATAGCTGAGTTACGTCAAACCAAATAAGTATTGAGTTGCACAGCGTAACGAAATCATGCTTGTTGCAGATTGTTGTTTACTCTGTATCATGAATAATTGTTTGAATTGTTCAGAAAAGTTTAAATCAATGCCAGGAGAATACCGAACCTAATTGAAGCGAAATGGCGGCATCCGAATGGTACAAGCGTTGGAAGGACGTGTTGAGCGAGTAAAAGAGTTTCACCACATAGTGTTTGTGGTGAGTGGGTCGCGGACCGTCAGAAGGTCATTGGTTCTGTCGATCGCCACCAATAAGATGGACGACATACAATACTCATCACCAGTGTACCGGGTTTTCCGACTCGTGTTAGCCCTCGCGATAGTATACTCTATCGAGTTTTGCGGATTCCAGCTTGTTAGTTCTGGGGGAGCCAAAAGAATGGCAATGCTCCCTTCTATGGCCAGTATAGGACAATCGATCGTCAAGCTAATAGGTGTCAGTGCCATCAGTCGTGATACTTCACTATCCCACCACGCCAACAGGATCTTAATCAAGTTTTGTCGATAGTTTTACTTGGTGAAATTCTGGAATATTTCTCACAGGTACAGTGCTACAGGACAGGATGAAGCAACATTTCACTCATTCCCGATCCACTCAGCTGAGCCAACTCAAATGAATGAGGTTTCGGCTACCTGGTCGAACTGCGAAAAAAGCGTTCAGCATCTTTGGCCTGAGGGTAGACAGGGGCTACTACTGGACATCTATCGCCGGCTGAAGTTCGATTAGCATCTGCTTGTTGAGTTGTGAGTTAGTTTAGACTCCATAAACACTAGGTCCGTTTGATCTGTTCTTACCGACTTTCCGTAAGGTAGTTACCCTTAGTGCATCCCTTCGATGCTTGGTAAGAACCGACTTCGAGTGCAACAGCAATTGGTTCATGATCTCCTCCCTTTGTGATTGACTAGCTGATTTGCTGGACACATGCGCTCACTAATTGAACCACAGGAGGTTCGCTCAGTGTCGAATGTGGTGCTACGTGCAAGACGCTGATGCAGATTAACATCAAGGAACAAAATTTATTGGTCAACATATAGCGGCCATGTAAATACCATTAGGAGACGTGGCAGTGAACGCCATCATTAACCTTTTCACATTAAAGCGGTGATGTAATCCATCAGCTTTTCTAATTTTTACCGAGATGCCGCATTTTCCGAATGTAAATAGTGCTCTCTGATAAATGCCATTTGACTTGCTACTTGAATGGGAGTGGGTAGTCAGACAGCAGACCAGTAATTGGATGGGCGCTAGTACCATCATCTGATTGCATGGCAGATGTAAGCAGATGTCGGTTGGATGTTAGAGACAGACTACTTTCGTGGTGTTTCGGATTTGGTAGGCTTGTCTGATTCCCCTCAGGTATGTGGGCTAGAAAGGCGCATCGACCCAAAGGGTTGTGCTTCACATCGTACGTTTACCTCAAATGACGGGCTCATGTTCGAGCATGGAGCTGTTTTTCGGGGAGCTCTTGAGGCTTGTGCAGACGGTCCCTCTGTCAATTGTCGGGTTTTCCAATGATTAAATCTTTCCAAACTTACCCGAGTGTCACGATGAGGTATTTTTTGCTGCCCAGCAAATCGGGTCCGCGCATAAGTTGCTTCTGGGTGAGATTGTCGGCCACTCGCTTTACATGGCCTATCGAGCGTGACTGGCTATGTCTCAGGGTGTACTCAATTCTATTGATGGTGGCTTGTTTGAAAATTTCAGTTTCTAAGACTCAGTTTGACTGCTCTGTCTGTGGGCAGGTAGTGTAAGTGGAATACGTTAGTCTTCCGAATGTGCCGTCGGCAGAGCGTTCATATTTAAGTACTCTGCAGTAGTGAAGACAGAAGTCCTCGCATCAAGATATTCCACAACCATCAATCTGGATGCAAAGTGTCTTTTATTGTGATGCCGTTGCAAGCCAAGCACAAGCACACTAGGAATATCCTATATTAAGGCTAAAACGAAATACCGTGGTTATGCGCTGCAATTTAGAATGTGGGGATAATGCAGTGTGCGAATTTTCGATTACTGGGGCTTCACTTTGTTTGTTGAACATCTTAGTACATTCCATACACTACTGAATTGGTACGCTATCTTCGGAAACGCTCCTGCACCAATCGTAGTTAGACAGAGACTGAACAAAGTAGGAGCCAGACCTCATCCCTTTTATGGATTCGAACTCGGCAGGTGCTTTGGAAAGGTACGTTTTGACGGAGGCGTGAGGTTGGAGCAGCTTAAATCTTTCTGGATTGGGTAATGATTCGCAATGTATCCCTCAAACAACTAACAAACTTTCAAACATATTGAACTTTCTGCTGATCCGATATGCTGGAAGTATTGGAATTACTGCATCTTATGTCAATCGTTTTCTTTAGGTGCTCTATAGGACCGTGTATGACTTCGTCGATCTGCATGATGTGAGGTCTATTGGATCTTTCAATTTACCATTGTTTTTTCAGCAGTTGTAGATGATCAGGCGTTTGGTAATCTCACTGCCACTACTCTCTGGAGCTGGTGCATCTGACGGATGCTGGATCGCCTTGACGAATATCGTTTTTTATTGACTAGGTGGAATATAAGTTCATTATTCTCTCATGATCAGCCTTCGGAATCAGACGGTGTGCACCGTAAACATCTTAACATATTCTTTGATTTTAGTACACTCTTCCTCCACTGTTTGTGGAGCCGTTGTGATGATTTGTGATTTGTAGTCGACACTCGTCCTGTGGTCAAGTCCACCAGGTGCTCGCTACTGAATCTGTTTAACAATACATTTGCTGTACGACGAGGGAGCTTCAGTCGCACTCTGAATCACATCTGTGCATGGTTGGTGTTGCGGTCTGCATTGCACGTCACCCTCCATAGCATCCATTTGTCGGACAGTGGATGTCCACGTCCACTTCTTGGACGCAGTAGTTGCTTTTTCAATACACTAAACCTTGTATTTGGGATGACAAGTTCCGTCGGACACATGGTAAGCATGCGGTTCCCATCAACATTCCTGACTCGATTTCCAAACATCCCGATCACTTTTAGTGTTTGTTTGCCACAACCGACTGGGGTGCTAAGGTCAGTCATCAAGAAGAGACGATCAGTTGACTGAATGTAGTCTACGACAGTTGATCGTCCGCTGTAGGATTTTTCTGCTCAGCTACTCCATGGGATATAATTCGTAGGAAGACGTCATCTTTATGGTCTATTCCCATTATCCTAGGAAAAACGGATTCCAGTTGAATATCTATCGTACGTACGATATTGTACCGCAGTATATGATACATATCACCCTATATACACAGTAGATGGTATAAAATGTAAGATCTAGTTTTCCGCACGGATAATATCGACAGTGCAACTAATTGATTGATGCCGTGCGCTCTTTGTTTAATCTGCTTATCTTGGTGTATTTATTCTTTTGCTTAATTAACGGTCGGGGATGTCAGAACACCAGACCGATCAAATGCGTCAGAATGCAGTGCTAGATTTTTCGTCTAACCAGCCGTCGTTTGCCATGGACTAATTTTGGGACAGTCATTCTGTAGCAACATGTCTGTTGACCAAATGGCCATTGTACAATTTGTCAAGAGTAATAAGATGCCCAATTGATTGCAACTGTTATTTTAGACCATGTTCTCCTACGAAACATTTTTATTTCCGTGTTTACTAGTCCACCAGCCACCACAGCGCCTGTAGCTTCCAGTTCAGAGGACAACGGTGTGTCCGTGCTGATGACCGTTGGAATATCAGGCTTGGGAATTCATCAGCCAACTCGTCAACCAAAAACCAAGGGCAGTTTTTCTTCAGCACAACTTGGCAGTGAAAAAGGAGACGCCACCACGGCGACGCGGTTTGGTACCTTCTTTGGTTCTTTTCCAAGAAATGGGATCAAAAGATCCTCCTCAATATTCGTTAAAAGGCGTGGTAATAATGGAGCGGCGGCGTACAAGAACCCTTCTTTGGCACAACAGTGTCTTCGAACGGGAGTTGTTAGCGGTACAAATCTTCGACTTGCTCGCACTGCTACAAGCACCAACCATTCTGATCCATCCAGGTTGACCATTAGCCAATCTCCACAGACTGAGGACCAACCTACTTCAGTATCGGGTTTCGAAGAAGAAACTGTTCTGATTGAACGTGAACCAAGCAAGGAATCTGTCGTATCCGCTTGGCTTTTGCAGTGCAACAATGCTTCATTGTCACTGGACGATACCGAAGACGCAGTGAAAGAACCTCAGTATTCTATCAAAAACGTGAAACTATTTGATGTACCAGAGGACCGAGCTCAGTTGTTTGGAAGCTCTGTGGAATCCGCTCCAGGAGCAAGTGAATCCGAACTGCAGGAGGTAACACCTAAGCGGTTTCTTTATCCGACTGACGTAACAATCCGATTCGCCGACCCGGTTCCTAGTAAACTGACGGAATCCAAGAATTTCGTTAAAAGTGCACGGTTTACTCCCACTACTGGGAAGGAACTGCGTAGAGACGAGACCCAAACCACCCACTTCTTGGATTCACACCCAGTCCGGACCGCGGCACTTCATTCTGTACAAAACGCTGAATCCTCTCAGTCTTGTGAAGATGACCCAAACGATCACATTGAGGAAAATGCCAACCACATAACTGATTGGGCCAGTGTATCTTCATCCGAATGGGGTGATGAAATGTGTGTGAGTTTCTTACTTTCACTTGCAAAATAAGTGGGACTGTTTAATTTGTGAGTCTGAAAAAACCGGATATTTCGAATCTTTAATACACACATACTGGTGTGTATGATTTAAATGTGTGGAGTTTGGAAATTGCAGATTTCAGCAATCAGTATTTCGCTCCACCTTTCTGACCTTTAAGACCTCCTCAACCCACTTATATTACGTGATCCATTGACCCTGTGCTTAGTGAATGGTTGTACATAGCAGTAAAAAGTTAGCTGGTGAGGCCGTACACTGACATCAATGTACTATCCGTCATCCGAAGTGGACCTTCATGTCAGTGTTCGTCAAACCACTGCTCAGAGGCCTGATGGTGAGACTACACATAGTGGCGAGCACCGTAACCTATTACTCAGTACCGTTTAACATTGCCTTCTTCTAATGCCGATTTTGACGCTTCATCCTAATGCCATACTCCGCTCCGACGTACTATCTGGTGGGGCTGCCCATTTATGCACTTCTCATATGGCAATAAGTAGTGTGTTAGAATATAGATTGGCACTGGTTTTGTAATGCCATGAAATAACACCAGTGTCTGACGTGTACTAAGATGAAAACACAACAGTCGTTGACTTTTAACTATCCTCAGTTCGTGTGAATAACGGCGACCGGATCCTACCGATCCACACGTTGTGTCGGGTTTCATAACTGTGGCAGCGCTGGATAAAGTGTGACCTGTCCGGGTGACCCACTTATTTTTAGCATAGCGCTGTAGCACTGATATATATGTGGGTTGGGCTAATTATAGACGAATGTGTGTTAACTAAGATGGATCTGTTATGCGGTTCCCGTGTGAATAAATTTAAATTCTACCCATTGGTTTCTGCCCTCAAAATCGATCATCAAATTTCAACCGTCGGACAAAGTCTTGGTTGTTTTGAATGGGCGTCGTTAAAGTAATGTCAAGCGTTGGTTCGACTATCATCGGTCGGCCAAGCATCCTCATATCCACCTATCGTTAGAACTAGCTTCATTAGGATTCGTATTGTGTTTCAGTCATTTTATTCACCACTTACCCTCCCATCACATGGTCATTTCCGTTTGACTTGGTCGGGACATAACCAAACGAAACGCCCGATATCTTGCGTTGGGCGTGGCAATCAATAGATGATGATCAATGAAGCATGCATTTTCACCTTGTTTTCACATCTTGCGGCCTGAAGCGTTGAATAAGTCCCTATGTAGAAGTTGAGTTCTGCAGGTCTTATCTGACTCTTTTTACCTGTGTCTCCTTGCCATCCCGGCCAGCACTTTTAAATGTATGACGCTGAAATATGGCTTATTCTTTCGACAAAGTTTTACCGAAATATATTTTCCAGAATATGAGTATTTCTGTCAACCCTTAGGTTTATTTCTTCAGTGCTTGTCAGTATCTCAACCTCCAACGTTTCCATCTTTAGTTGGCCAGGCTTACACGTTACCCTCATGTTTTTATCGTAGTTTGCTGTTTAAGGGAAGCCACATTGGGTTGTTTATACTGTAAGCTCTACGTATGCGTCTCTTACCGTGTTGCTTCTTTTCACTTGCTCTTCGGTGCCTGACCCGCGCAAGAGGATAAACAAAGTGCATGGGTTTAATTTTAGCTTTTCATGCTTGATGGTTGGCGTTTTGATACAGATTGTTTGGCGTCCCGTATTTTTTCACATTATACAAGTTCCAGACGTCCATTGGTTAGACTGTAGTGATCCATATCTTCAATTACCCTGACGGTGTATTGGTTGAGATGCCTTCCTCACCTTACGTAGGGAGGATGTGTTCAAATCATTTCAATCATTTCATCGTAATAAACCGCAGGCTTCTCGACGGAGACTGATCATCTTATGAGATGTGACTTTGGAACTGAAATATCATTAATCTGCTTCATTAAGTGTTTAGCCATTTTATACCGGTGGTGCTGTTTCCAACGAATGAGTGGTAACTACGGGAAGGACGGCCATGTGTCCTCTATGCAGTCCCATAAAAGCATTCAGCGTATTATGCCCGTTTTAACCATATACTCTGGGATCGGTTCAGTATGACCGTGAATGGAACCGACCGAAACGTCCAACTGATAAATCGTAAACACCATTTGAGTGCACATTTGCTTTTAAATAATCACATATGTTCGGTAAGGTGTATTGGAAACACGACTCAGTTGCACTGACAGATAGGGATTGGCTGTACTTATTCGCCACAGTATTTCTGTCCGACGTTTGGCCCAGCTCTTGATAGTTAATATTTTTGCATTCGTTCTCGGACACGACTACATTCTCAGTATGTGTAAACCTGGCTTACTGCAACGCAGCCGGTCGGAACTGCCGTAACCAAGAAACCTCAGAAAATATCGGAGCCTTTAGATAGTTAAGGCAGTGGATGGTACCATGGATCGTTTTAATGTTCAGGAACGAAAAGTTAAGCCCCGATAGCCACAGCTTATGAGAAGATGTTCACGTTATCTGATGCAAATAGCAAGTAGCGAGCTTTTTCTACCTACAGGAACAGTGATTGTTTATCGAAGTTAAAAGTGTTATCAAAATGCTTGTGTATCATTCAGGTTTAAATGTTTTTTTCTTTTGGGTTCAGTGATTGCCGTTTTATGTTTCTGGTTTAAGTAAGCTCTCACCCATACGCAAAAGTCATATATCCGTAAGCGGTTAGTGCGATGTATTATTCAGAAGCTTTAACGGATCTCAATGCGGTTCTGTTTTATTTTCGGAGGGTGGTCTGACGATATACAACTATCCGAATGACTTGTCCATTTATATATTTGAAGCTGTTGTGACTCCTCGGTGGTTTTTCAACTGATTGGCCTGATTTTTTAGACGGAACTTGATGACATCCCTGGCACTGTGGGCCTTTCTATTTCACCCTATCATTTGAAATATGTTTATCAAAAGATTAGCATATGTTATAGAGAACATTTATAGCTCAACTAGCATAGACGGTCGTCGGTTTGTTCACTGAGTTGGGCAATTTGATTGCATTAACATATCCCCGATCCTGTAACAGATGCTCATTGGGACGTTAAAGCAAGGACCAATACTCCTGATGAAACTGAATCCCTTATTATCCAGTGGCTTTTATCCGATGCCTAACAATAAGACGCAGGGATCTGTCTCAACAGCTTCTGGTTTACTGATTTGCTTTCCAGTCTTGGAGGCTCGGACTGCGTTGTCAAGCCTAGAAGAATAAGCAAACTTGGGTCAGTTTACCAATGGATTACCTGGTAGAACTACAAAGTTTTTGAAAAATTAATCGCATTTCATTTTGATCAGAGCGTGATAATCAAGGAAGAAGGGTTTTTAGAAGAATGTTTTATTTGTAGTGTTTATTCACAGGCCAGACTGACTTACCACCAGATACCTAAACATTGGAATATTTTCACTGTTTGTTCATAGGAATTTGACCGACAACAAGCGAGTCGTGTTCAACAGATGTTCGACCAGATTGATCGCGTGCTGTACGATGGATGTACAACGGGCTGGCCTACAACTGAAGGAACTGGTAAGAAACCGTTTTAAATTATTCTATCTGCAAAAATATTGCATATATCTGTAAGTTTGGATGTCGTCACGAAGGTGCTGAACCTTGCCATGGTGCTTGTGGATGTCGATTCAATGTCTACAGTCTCTCCTACCGGGTTGGCCTTTGGGTAAACGTCTGATAAATGCAGTCTCCTACCCCTACAGTTGGGTTGGGTCAAGTGTGGAACTTAGCTCCCTAAAATTTAGTCTACTAGAGTAGTCTTATCCCAGCGACCGCTGCCTCGAGGCCATGCTTTCGATCCAAAGGCTTTGATTGAGGTCTTTAATTGTCCCTTTGTCTAGGTTTTTGCACTCTGGTAGTATCCCAGCCCACATATATCGATAAAGCTGAAAATTAATAGTACATCCATGCTATACCGGCCTCCGCATGATGGCATGGACTTATTCATTTCATGCAGCAGAACGGATAGGCTGAAACACTTGACCGGTGACACTTTCCACCGTTTTTCATTGTTATCTCTTAACCACCGTTTTGTTGCACTTGTCAATTCTGTAGGCCCCTGCTTTGAGCATCTCAGTCAGGCACCCATGAACTGAAACTTTGCGCACAATCTCTCTGAGTCTCTCTTCCGCATCCGCTATTCGGGCCTTGCTCTCTTCTTGCTATTGTAGCTTTTAACGTGAAAACCTCTAGGCAAATCTGTCAACAAGGTACTCTAACTAATTTCTCAATCGAGATCTGCTGCATATCTGAAAATCGAATACAGGATCCAAGTGCATTTACTGAGCTCTCTATGTAGACGCCACAGACTACTTATTTCGACTGATCTGGCAGCTGCTGCAATAAGTTGAGGCTTTAATTCTCGACTGCACCTCCGAATTTCTCGTTTGATAGAGACTAACACTGAGCGGAATTTTGTGTCCGTTCATGCATCAATAAACTCTAGCACTGATTCGGTGAAAGACGCATTCTGTCGAGAAATAGCCACCCTCTGTCCACCACGAAGAGTTCGGATATAATCATAACAGCCAGAAATTTCAATGCACAGGTAGGACTTTTGAGTTCTCCAAAAGCACACAAAAAACGAAAAATACGATAGTATTGGTAAGCCTGTTTGCAACTCTGTTCTGATCACCAGTTGTTTTCAGCAATACTCGGTTTGGACGCATTGGGTTTCCGCTTACGGCTGAGCTGCCTTGAAGCCAAATTGGCCAGATTGCCTTCATCTACTGATGGTGAGGTTCAGTCTGTGACCGTCGATCGTTTTGAACTACACAAGTTGATTCATTTCGCGCGCCTATCCAGTGAGGATTTTTATTAAATTCTCCACATAAACCTAGTAACGAGCCCTTACTTAGCAACCGAAAGGCTTCAGAGGTCACAATTTAGGCAAACATACCAAAGCCTTCTATGCAATGATTTACAAGTGGCTTATATGGACAGCATTCACCGTAACTGAGATGAGGTAACCATGGCAACACTATTTTGTGGTGTTTTGGAGTGTTTCTAGAAGCCGCTGAATCTCAGAACGGTCAGTATCGCTCCCTGATGCAAAGTCCTCTATACGATCTGGTTCGGAGGACTATTCGGGCAGGTGGTCGACTGTGTATGGATAGGGAACCAGAAGCTTCTAGAAATGGGACGGCTAGTGCGGTTGGGAGTGCACTGAAGCTGTTCCAATGTTATCCATGAAACAGTTCCTAAAAGACCTTTTGAAAGTGAATTAATCAAAGACGATATTGGAAACTTAATACATAATAAAGACCATCGTCTAGACCACTGCGCGTTATTTGACCCTCTGCCATTGTGCCTCTATCTTTCAGTCGACCTGCTCATTTTGTGCCGCGACCACATTTAGATTATTAATGTCTTTAAGGTGCATCGGGCTGCTGGACCAGGGGACTACTCCAGGAATCATTGCGTCCCGCTCTGTCCAGGTTGTTCTTAAATATTTGAGAAGAACAACATGGTCCGAAGACTTGGAGCCAAAGATATCCTGACCGACTGTTCTCAACACAAGGTCTCACAAGGTCACACAAGGTCTCTCACAAGGTCTCACAAGGTCTCACACAAGTCTCACTTCCGTTGTAACACGGTTACTGGGTTCTCTCATATTGTGACGTCAGATGCCAGTCTGAGAGAACCAAGTAGGATTTCGACCTGGCAGAGTGTGCATTGACCATATCTTTGCATTGTGTTCAATGCTCTCGCAGTAGTATCTTTGACCAGGAATTAGAGTTCTTCTTGACCTTCGGCTGTGTGGATTGGTTAGCTTTTCTAAATGTTCTTCGCCAAAGGCGATGCCTTTGAAGCTTCTAAAGGTCACTCTTACCCCATATTTCCATAAAGTCAGTCGGGTCAGGGTGTACGATGAACTGTCCTGAGGCGTTCTCAAAACCATTTGGAGTTTGTCAGGGCTGTTGTCTCTCAAGCTATCGAAATCATGCCTGGGAACATATTAATGGACTTACACAGGGAGAATGACATTGCCTGTTGTGGTGCACAAGCGGGTATTTGGTATTCGAGGAACCACAGTCGTTAGAGAACCAGATAAAACCACATCAAGGTGGTTGGAACATGTTTTATGCATGTCTAGCAATAGTCGTCTTTCCAAGGTATTGTTGCCTAAAGGTTCCGGTGGGGACAAGCCAGAACACTGCAACGTGAAGTGAAAGCAGCTATTGTCAATCAGAGTGCTATGTGATCTCTGTGCCTTACGGGCTGGAGTCCACGTGATCATGTGTGCACGTGTCTGGAAACCCTGCAGGATGACCCATGCAACCGATCCCAGTGGCGTACCTGTTGTCATTTTTCAGCCTTATTGCCTAGCTAAATTTTGCCAAGCCTTGTTCTCTGGGTGTTGATTGGTTCACGGGGATTTCACAAGAAACGCTTGGTCAATCTTGTTGAAAGCATTCTAATTTGACACAATACTGATATGTGTTCATTTCAATTCTATCCAACGGTGTAAACGCCTTTTTCTTAGTCGTCTTCCTCAAGGACAGGGTTTCTTCGCACCAAGTCTTTCAAGAGATGAACTCTTTTTGCCTGCCTTAGCTGTCGATTTGGGAGATTTCGCTTGTCATATGCAGATAGTGCGCCCAATCGCATACAGAAGTATGAGTATTTCAAACATTTTTCATCGGTCGAATCGTGTCTCCTCCACTACATTTCAGGCGTTTTTAAGTGACAAGTTAGGAGAATAACGAAATGAAATCATCATTATTTCTTTATTCCTTGTTGGGAACCGCTGTTTATACAGCTTGGGTTGCAATATAAAGTGGCAACGTCATCCCGATAAATCTTACCACGAACAAAAGTAATGTTGAGCGGATAATGTTAAATTAAACTGTATTCGGAAATTTAACAGTTGGTTGTGCTTGATGTCACAAACTCATAAGTGATGTGTGCATTTCTGCATATATTTTTTCGAATCTTTATTAGGCTTATTTCATTCGTTTTGATTCAGCTACTTGAGGGCAGCCCGGCATGTTAATGCTTACGATTTATAACATCATATCGTGGGAAGTTGTAAGCTGTCTTATTCCTAGAGCTACTAAGCTCTTGTTCACAGGACCATCTCATGCTTTCTGACAAGTTGACGGTAGCAACGAGGCAACAGACAAATGCACACTTTCCGCGAGTCACTGAGCAGGGACTTTTTATCAGTCTTTGGTGGTTTCTGTCTCTGTTGTACACCAGAACGATTTTCGCGCGGCCAAACACATAGCATCGTTATGGCTGGGTACCTCGCAGGGTCAAGGCTAACTTCAGAATTGGCGTGCGAGGATTTGTCAATAGCTCTTTGCATGGAGCCACAGTTGGTGTCAAGCGTCAAATGGAACTCAAGGACAAATAAGTGTTTTTAGGGAAGTAAGCATGTCAGGATTCTTCATTGCTGCCTCGCATGTCATCGTCATTTATTGCCTATTGTTTTCTTATCCTTTCATTTATCTCGAAATTTCCCATGAAGATACGCCTGATAGGTCAACTTCTCCCGCCATGCAGCTGCAGGACGAGTACAACCTCAGCCAACTGGAAGACGAATGTCAAGATTGGTTGCAACGGTTTTTGCATCTCCGTGTAGTTGGAGTAAAAGTCCCGGCAAAGGATGAAACGAGTAGCATTTGCTCCATCACCCGTTCGTCTCAAAGTCCTTGCACGAAGGCCGGTAAGTGTTTCGTTTCACTGCCCTTGATTCTTCCCTGGTGCTATCAGTGGGCTTGTCTCTGATGCCATTTATAGTCATCGTAAGAAGGTAACGCTTGAAAATTCCAGATTTTCCATCTTTTAACTACAACATAGTCTCCATTGTAAAGACCTAGCAAAGTAAAACTGGACGGCAACTGAAGGCCGGTGATGGAAGGTTTATTCTTAGCACAAAAAGAAAAAAGTACAGGCACAATCATAATTGAAGACCATAGCCCTATTTCACAGCTCTCTGAGCAGCCGTACAAACTCAGCTAAAAATCACTGCTGGCTCCGCTCTGGGGCAGAGATGGTGGGCATTGAGTGCTCCAACTAAATCAGTTTCACATCGAGCCTTGTCCATCTTCACTTCCAGACTACATTGTGGTCACTTGTTCCCTGTGACCTTTGTAACAGTTTCCTGTATGTCCATACCAATATTTTCAAATAATGGCGCATTTATCCATCGATTTCTCCAGTTTCCCCATACCGAGAGGACGTTTCACTTACTTTCCTCCGCCACGACAGTCGAAGCCACAAACGGAATGTTATTCATTTAGTCCAAATATCTTGACAGATCGTTCGCGATTTGGGCTGCTGGTTTCTATAAAGTGCGTTGTCTCCAGACTCATTCTGCTTAGTTAAGTAGCGCTCACTTCTTTTTTTTGCTTAGGGAGCGTCTGATGTCGATAGAGTGATAGTTGAAAATGTGCAGTTAGAACGGTGTGGTAAGAATGCTCACAACTGGGTTGGACAGTCAGTTCGAACTACATGTTCAATTTGCCTTGGTGTGCACAAAGGACACTACCGGCCTTTCAATAAGTTCCGCCAAATCTTTCCACACCCTGCTCCTTTTGCTGGTTTGTTCTTTCTGTGCTTGTCCTGTGAAGAAGAGCAGTGCATTCGACTCTAACAATTAGGCCGTGAGATTGTTTGTTAGGATGCAGAAAAATATTGTATATAACTTGATATACGAATCCTTTCAGATAAGCGGACCGATTGTATTACCGATAAAAGCAGTCATGATCGTCCGAGCTTGTGATTGGCTGAGCACACCATCTATGCGGTCGGCACACTGGCGCGGCCATTTCAGAGGTAGGGAAATTGTTGTCATCCCTCACCTTCGCAAGTACTTTTAAACCCGAAAGTGCATTTGCGGAGGTGTTCTGTCAGTACCTGCGATCGCCTGTTTCGTTACAATGGGAATCAGTAAACCATAGTGGGTAGAGAGGAGATACATTCTCGCTCTACCTGTCTGTAGTTCCAACACTAAAGCTGGTTTCACGCAGGGTGTACGCGATGACCATGGAGTATACGTGAACCGGTGAAAATTCAAACTCATGTTACTTCTGCGTAAATCAAAAGTAGACTTAATGTGACTAATAGATGCCATTAAAGGCGTGATGCCTTCAGACTGACTGGAGCGAAGTCTATCAAATATGGCGCACATGTCTACAGACAAAGAGGAATCACTAGGAAACTAAAATCTCCAGGCGAGATAGTGACGTCCCTAAAATTTCCTCTGAATTCTTCGGAAATCTAAAGAAGCAATTTCATCTTTACATCTTTAACTGAAGAGTGAACTTAGAAATTGTTGGGAATTTTCTTTCATGGGCTGACGCCAGAATGCGCTCCTCTGTAATTTCGTTTTCAACCGGTCTTGGGGTTTCGCCCTGTACAAAACCATTCCAATGAATTAATACCTTATTCACCATTTATTACAGTGAATCCGAACTTAATGTTCTTTTTTATAATTCAAAAAAGAAAGCCCTTTTTAGATGGCTCACGCGAAGTATGATTCATCTCCTATTACAAATAAATTTAGTAGAAACTCGATTTTGAATCTCACGGATACAGAAACCTATCGTTCTCAGTACTGATTGGCTGAGGATTGCTGTTAGGGTCAAATGATTGCTCCAGGCACTGAACTGCACCTGAGGCTCGGAGAATCGACCAGTGATGTTCGAAGTTCGTAAGTATGATACGCTCAACTATGGGTAGCGTTCACTTACATTTAGTCAGGCTGATGTCACATCGGTGGCAAAATGTCGTAGGTTAGCGAATGCTTCCCTGGCGTTCCCCATTCGGGAAGTGACTTTGTCCTTTACTGGTCCGATCAGTCCGCCTGCAAATATGAGGTTCTGGTTTTATTCTCTCCAATCCTCCAGTAGCATTTTACACTTTATAGCTGCGATGGGCATACCAAACTATGCAGCAGAATTATTTAACTGATATGAAATAGTTAGTACTCCTAAAGGGTTTGGTCCAAGTAGAGCACTATCGTCGGCATACTTAGCGTCCTTGAGTGAACGTCCCCTTTAAGGGAACCAAAAAGCAGCTCTTTTATGTCGGTCAACCTGTGGCACATGGATCCTCACAGGAAAAGTTGAGGTGGCGAAAAAATTCATCTCTTGGAGACTCCGGCGCGAGCATCAGTTGTGTTTCTGCTCAGTTGACCCGGTAAAAAAACTTTTTAATCGGTTCCCCGGCCGGTCCCTTCTGATGTACTTCCAGGAATCCCAGGAGGTTTCCCAAACAATCTGAAAAAGCGAAACAGAGATAACCAAGGACTTTGATGTTTATTAGGTAGTTCAGTTTTTATTTCGCCACTTTCCGCCGGTTTTTTGAGGTTTATAACATCTGAAATCACCGTTGCTGAGTGCAATGCACATACAGCACAGTGCGAAATTGGTGGATAACTGTTGTGCCTTGCTGAACGGTAGGGCAACTCTGTATCGATCCCTTAGCTTCCTGCTCCGCCTACTGTGGTATATCAAAAGGCACGGTAGCCCTACATAGCCCTTTATGGAGACAAAGGAAAATTATTACAACTGTATTTACAGGATAGTCACAGGTCGTGCCAGAATTTCCGTGAGGGGGCGAGAAGCGTCGACTCGGACCGGCTGGCATTCTGACCAATCAGGATATGTCCTCGTTTGGTGCGTGTCCTGCACGTGGCACATCCGTCCGAATGATGTGATGTTCGGTTATTATGGACGACTGGCCTCCGGACAATAACCTAGGAGAATCCGGTATTCAGTGGTGGAAAGACTTAACTGGAACGGTTCGGATGGTGCAGCTTGTCATAGGCATGAATTAAAAATAGGTGAATTCAGACACAGTGGAGGGTTTGAAATATTTGACAGAACAAAAAATTGTCCGTATTAGGTGGAAACTAACGGCCAACTTCCCAATCAGGACGCCCGACGATCATGTACGATTCTTCCGCAATAATCAAGTCGCAAAAATGGTCAGTCAGCTTTATCCAGTTGTTTAAGTCATGATTTGTCTACCGGAATTCCCAGCTACCGAAGTAGCCCGCGCACATTTCGCATGTCAATCCTATCGAAAACGCGTGCCCCAAGGGTGAGGCGCGTCTACAACGAAAACAGAGTTTTCAAATCCGTTGGTGAGGTGAACACAGCTATGCTGGATATAGGAAATAACTTAGAACCCAAATTATTGCAGAATCTGACCAAAATCACGAATTCCTACATTGAGAAAAAATGATAGACATCATACATCATGACATTTGCCCAGTTTAGTACACATCTGAGTGCGCATCCAAATCCTCATGTTCGATTGTGAACACGTTTCCGGGTTTCATGCGGTACATGCCGCCACTTGATAGTACATCGGACCCAGTAGCACCAACCGAAATTTCTTAACTGCGTGTTGTACGAGCCGAGACAGCATGCAAAGAACAGGGCACTTGGCCTTTTTCAACTTCGAGTAGTGAAGCCGAGAACCCTTAGATTGACATAAGCGTATGATGACAACAACTAATACGGGTTGATCATTTATGAGAAATGTCAGATATACGACGGTGCTCGTTCACTCACCTTGATTACTTTGGGTATCTTGATTGCATTGCAGACTATCCTACTCCTACGCAACCTGTAAATAAGTCTAATGGCGTAACAGGACCGGTTGGTTACTCGAGAACTGGAAAATCGTGCTCACCAAATCAGGATTCTCCCTCTATCCAAGTTGGTTTGAATAAACAGCTGAGACACTCTGAGTAAGTTACATGTTACTTAATTTGTAAGAGCGAACATTGTATTGACTCGGTAGAAGTTGTTTTCTACATTCTATTTTATGAGCCGCGTACGTATCTGACGCAATTAATCTAAACGCTTTATAGAACTGATCACAGGCGGATTGTTTCTGGACAAAATGGCTCGTTTAGATTGTGACTTCTCGGGATAACTGCTCCATGGCTTGTACGGTGCGGTAGGTAGTGCAGAAGTAGAACATAACCGAACACAGAGCAAATTTGAAATAAATAAATAAATAAAAATAGCAACTGATCTCTGTCGGTAAGTTCGATCTACCCGACCAGAGTATAGAATTCCGAGTTATTGAAAGTAGCATCATATCGGTATACGAACTAGAGATGTCAAGCGACTGAACCACTTTGATTTATTCTAAAACTCGTTTCTCCTAAGCGCAAGACCACTGCACGTCATTTTAGGGACTCACAGTCTTCTGCATTGGTTTGTGTTCGCATATCTGAAGCGGTGTTGTTCTAGCCGTTTCTATACTGCTGGTAATTGGTATAGATCGCTTTATTTACTATTGCCGGCGGTTCTCATAATATGTTGTTATTGCTCTTTTCGAGAGACGCCCTATTGGCACAACATCCTAAATGTTAGATTCCAACACTACTTCCATCCAGCTACTAAAAGTGACTTTCTCCAACAAACGTTTGCTTTCAAAGCGATTCCAGTAAGTGAACCGTAATGGTGAACAGTAGTGGACGATAGCACCTTTTGATGTGTATCTGCGATGCAGCGAGGGCCAAGATAGTACCAGTGAAAGAAAGAAGGCCTTTGATGCGGAGTTATTTATTAGAAAACACCAACTGAACAGTTACAGACCATTGGGCAGGAAAGCAAAACTCCCGTGTATATCTTGTTTATAAAAACTAAATGTCCGTCTTCTTGGACGCGTGTTCCTGAACTCCCCTGGATATTCATTGACTGTCACTCAAATTCGATCGAACGCTTCAAAGAAATTTCACCATTTCTGTGATAAATCCCACTTTCATCAGACGCAAAGCGGAGTTACGAGAAAAATAATAATACTCGTATGCCTCATGAGTAGTATCCACCTTTGCACCAGCTTAGGCGTAGATACTGTTATTTAGACTTTTGTCTGAAAAATCTTCGGTTATGCGTAAAAAATAGCTTCTTTCTACTGTTTCCATATTGAATCTTACGTAAACTTGCTTTTTTTTATCGCTAGGGCATCTCATTTTTGAGGCTTTTATGTTTTTTTGTACTGAACGACAGATGTACAAAGCTAAAAAGGTCCCTTCGTTTATAATAACCTTCCCTCACGAAATGATTGGCTATTCATGAATCTAAACAAAATCATTTTCACGTTGTCTGCTGTAAATGGTTTTGACTTTAGCCTGAATCTTTCAAGATACTCACTCTCTAGTACGTGTTAGTTTTATGAGCCCTCATTCCTTAGACGAAAACACTCAGCATTCTTATAAAAAGCCATTGTATACAGTGCCCAGAACCTTTGTCTTATCAGGACTACTGGAATTCACGGGCATCCAAGTCCATCTACCGCATCTCATAAGAAGCCACGCACTCCTACACCTACTGTCGAACCGCCTGAAGCAATCCCATCCTGTTCTAAACGCAGTGGCTCATCAGACTCAGTGAAACGAATACATGTTTCTATCCCATCACACACTCGGGGATCAGAAGACCCTGATACATACCATGAAGAGATTCCCACTGTCGATCCTAGGTAACTTTCAGTCGAACGCAAACGCTTTTTTGTTGAGTTGCTTGTTATAACATCCAGTCATTCTGGAGTTCATGACTCCTTCAACTACGTATGTGTGTTATTGTTTATTTCATTTCTGTCTCACAGTTGCCTCATGAGTGATTTCCATCACCGTCAAATATTTGGCAAGTTCACCCCGTGTAAGCCTGATTCCACCGACACCCCGAATATTAACCGTGTGAAATCAGTCAATCCTCTTCATTCATGTATGATCAGTGTCATCGAGTAGCACTTCAGTTGCATCTGCTGAACGGTGCGCTCCGAGCCTCCAGCTGCAGAAAAGATCCACAGTAGCACTGTGAAAAGCGTGAAATAATACGCTGAGGATATGACAATTTTACTGACAAAAGTTACGTCGACACGGTACTCCACCTCCTGTGCACAACGAGCAGTTTCAACCTCCTGATCACTGTCGTGCTCCCTTATAGGAAACTGAATTTTTCGTCGTTTATTCCCCTGACGGGTTGCTTAAAAACGTGACGCTGGGATTTATGCTGTAAATGTACTCGGTTAGAAGACTGTTCTATTTAAAACAGAAACGCGAAACATAGGAGTACACCCGCCTTCCTGTTATGTCCATCCTACATTTATTTCGCTGATCCATAAAGTCCTCTTAACGTTCCTCTTAAACCGTTTCACAAAACTTCGAGGTCTAACATTCTCCCGACTATCAATTTTGTCAATTCAGCCTTTTTATATCCTAAATTCCGAATCGTTGTTAAGATAATGTCTCTCGGGTTTCCCAGGAAACCCATCTCCATAGAATTGGCTGGAGCCCGTGTCCTGTTTTTTTATTCTCGATATTTTACTCCACTATCTGTCAAGATTGTGGTTGTATATGGTATTTGTGCTGACGCAAGTTGACTGTACCATGCGTATCATCCAGTAAGATCTGAGGTTTCAGGTAACTGAATCGTTGGATAATTTAGCTTCAACTAGCTTCGCTAGGGTTTCGTCTGAATCCGGTGTCCCAGAAGTGATTCACAACATTTTTGTCAACTATTTTTACTTTTTCTACCATTGCAAAAGCACTTCGGGCCCCAGCTTTGACAAGCAGAAAGTAACGACGTTACAGAAGTTTCCGCGAACTATCCCAATGTCTTCCTCTCCACTTGGCAAGGGTGCTTTTGCGGCACCCACTGACTCAGTTAGTCGCCATGCTGTGACGAGATCCTGTCAGGACACCAAACGAACAACCATCATAAAACAATTGCTGGCAGAAGAAATACGCAAGGACCTGATCGTTTGGTTACAGGAAGCCGTCTGCTGTACGACCCCGCCACGTAAGCAGTTCGTTTGACTCATACAACCATGCCCGTGACCTAATGTAATACATGCGAAGTACACTCATTTACGCACTAATTTGGTTTCAACAGGAGACGCAACTGGACACCAGCTGAATCCTCAGTTCATAATATTCTTCATTTGATAGGATATTCGGGATATCGCGGTATATTTTTATGAAACTACGCATACGTTTGCTGAACACTTTTATACAGCCCACCACCTGGGGCTTGTCAGGTAGGCTTAGTCCTCGAGTTTCCGCCAAACCTATTTTTCATTTGAACCGCAGTCATACGCTTTTCACGGAATAGAGTCATTCGTAAACTATTTCGGCTCTAAATGGAGTCTCAACTGAGCCCGATTTTGAGTGAAATCGGTCGTGCGCTGTTGCCGAGTTTTCAACAACTTTCTGAGTAATTTCCTCTATGGAATATACTTCTGTGTAACAGGACACACAAGTATATATCATCAATATACCTGCTAAAACAGGTTTCCTTGATATACTTATTGTATTCGTCCACTCCCTGCAATATTCTGTGATTTGTGCGTCTTGGTATGGGCTCGTCCAATAGCCTATCTGGGTACTGACTTTTACTCTTTTACTTGAGCAGCTTTTCATTCGTTTGAAGTTGTCAGATTAGTCGCATCTGTTTCTTTGGGAAGTGAAAACTATCTTAACAGGTTGGTGACAAATGGAAGCATGATATATGGTAGTCCATCCGACGAGAGATCACTCACGAAGAACAGTCCAAGTGACCATAGTTGATGGAGTGGTAGCTCATGAAAGGAACAAATCGTTACGCTCACTACTAATCTAATAAAGACCAATGGCATATTTCTTAGGTCGCAAAACAATGACAGTCCTTTGAACAGGACTGCTTTTATCACCCACCGAAGTCATCGCTGGAGAACACGGTCCACTGACATTTCAAGGCCACTGTTGGAGGAAGTTTCCATCAAACACCACTACAGACTGGCTTTTGAGTCCAACTTTTTTGTGATCTTATTGTGAATCGTTTAATTTCGACAGCACAACTGCTGTGATTAAATAATTTAACGTGCGGGTTTTCACCGTGAAAATAATTTATTATGCTGAGGTGGTAGTAATGAAACACTGATTTGGTTAGTCGCCAATTGCATTAGTCAACTCATTAGCAGTAAACCTTTTTTTACTCAGAGACTTTCACAACCATCGATGCTGGTGGCGCCCAGCCAAATGGTATATATTTTGAAAAACTGTATGGTTGCTCGACGACGTTTTGTCAAATGAATCTTTATCGACGCTGCTGAGGATGTGATGGGCGTACGCAATCAAAGTATCACTGCATTAATCCAGAATGAGGCTTGTGTGGTAGTGCTCTGTTTCACCCTGGGTTTCCGAGTTATACCGGCCTTTCTAGACTGTTTCTTCATCGGGAAATACTGGCTGTGCATTAATTGCACAGCAGAAAAAATAAATTTCCTCTAAAAGGTGGTCCCTTCGTTGCCTTTCCGTCGTCCCTCTTCTAGATAAACATCTGCAGATGGGATCAGTTGCAATTGGTCTCGTATCACAGGATGCTCATCCCCCTCTATCTCTGTCCGTAGAGAACACCAGAAAAGATCGACCAGAATACGAGGGATTTAACTGTTGAAATGTGTTTCGAAAGAACTGTATAAAGGGTCCTGCTCGCTACTCCGGAAAAAGTTTCCCTATAACTTTGTCGCTTAGATACCTAGTTGATAAGGGAACGCAACAAAACTCAAGGCACGAATTTTCATCCCTGTCACGGATGATAGTAGATTTCGCGTTTTTGTTATGAGCTGCGAAGTGAACTTTCAGAAGGTATCAGCTGCGAGCTCAATCTCGTGGGTCTAAATTGCTGCATGTTCACAGTTGTGAAGACAACGAACGTATGTATTCAGCGGTGTTTTTGAAGAGTTTCCTGATCCTGACAGGATTTTCGCTTTTATTACAATTTCTTGGTAAGCCAGAATGGATTTCCCCAACCAGCAGGATGCATAGGAAACTTCATTAACCAGGATTTGATCGCAAATTTAACTTCGTTTGGCTGATCTACTACGTGGAACCCATTTTACATCAATTGTCTTCAGGATGTATCACTAGCAGCAGTGTTCCCTGGAGTTCTTTTCGCACATGGACGGTCAGCTGGAGACGATAAAAGTTTCTATCACTACAATTTTTTGAAGTCAATCTTTTCAGAGTTTAATTGCGTTTAAAAGTGGGCACGGCCTGTGGAACTCCTCTCCAATATGGTCAGTTGTTATTCAAACTATAATCCCATTTTATCCACCTGGCTACCAGATGATGTTGTCTACTGGACCATTCTGCTTAAATTGTGTGACGTCGATCAGGTGTTGTGCAGGTGTATGATTCCCTATCTGTTACAACCAGACAACCTAAATTTTGGTGTTTCAGGGGGAAGGTTAGAACCAAAAAGACTAGACAGTGGGGGGAGGGGGTATTGTAAAGGCTGGTGTTTAGAGTGGGGCAGTCCTTGTAGCACGAAACTCTGGATGCTAAATCTTGACAGAGGGACTAAGCTCGAAGGTTTTGTTTGGAAAGATTGGAAGTGAAAGAGTTGTTGCATGGGGCACTACACTAGTGGAAAATTCCACCTCGGACGCAACACCAGTATTCTGGAATGGGGTGAAGAAGTGACGTAAATCCCCTTCGATTACTTCTTACATCATCGGATCAGGAGAAGTTTCAGGAAAATTTTAATCCAAGCAAGGTGAATGACGGAGAATGAAGAAAAGGGCTGGGTTCCCTAGACAACTGTAGGTGTGAATTATCAGCAGAGAGAAATATGGATCAATTTAGAACTAGTAAGTACTACTGTACTTAAAGACCCCCCCCCTCGGTGATTTCAGCATTAAAGGCTTACTGGATAGGGATGAGTTGTATGCTTTATGCATGATCATCCTTACTCCATTTCATAAGCTTTCCTGTTTGCTCTTCTGTCTTTACATGCGTATTCCAATCGTCCCCATGTTGCGAATTTCGATTTTAGTTAATCTGAACACGACAGCAACTGGCGTCACAAGTGAAAACCATATCAGACATGGTAACGTTCGACCAAATTTACACCAGCAGATGCACTCTGAAAATATCGTTCATGAACAATCCGCATGCTTACTTGGCAAAGAATCTGCGGATCCATCCTCAAAAGTCCCTACCCATCATTCCACTGCCGCGAGGGCCCAAGGAAGTGTCTACCATCAAGCAACCAACGCAAGTGAATTGACGGATCTTTTACGCATATCTGCGAAGTCTCTGCAGCATAGAGAACGAACTGTTTGGAAGTAAGTGGGCCTTCACACTTTTCATGACGACCTCCCCTTCTTTCTATTCTATCTTCCAAAGCTCCGAATTTGTTTGAAGAGATGTTGGAATGGCAAAAGCCGAAAGAAACAAAGGTCGATTGCCATGAAGTCAATATGAAGTTGGCATTCTTGGAAATGTATCATTGGTTACGTTAATACATTGGATTGGAACTTTAGTCAACTATTCACGACGTTGACTGTTGTTTATTAGCCCTGATCGCAAGGTGGATAGGGATCGAACGTCTGTTTGGCTAGCACCGGTTGGTTACATATGAAATTCAAAAGTTTGCATCAGGAGCATCAATCCAGTCCTAATCTGAATTTATCTATTGCTGAAGCAGTCGAGCGTGATCGAATAATAATCCTTGCTCTCCAATCATCATTGTCATCATCATTGTAAGCTGTAAGAACCGCGTGCTTGTAGTACAGTGGTTGTAGCTGCCACAGTTTCGTTCACCGATGATTCGGGGAGGTGGGGTAGTAGCTGTGCATTGAAGGCCGGAGCTGATAAGTTAGTGCGTAAATACAGCACTGTTGGTGGACTTTAAAGTGTGAAGCAATGGACGAGTCCTTTTCCAGTTTGTTTGCTAGGAGCTTTGAGAAGCCAAGTGTTCGTGTCTTTCCCGTTTTACACCTGCTGTTCTCTGCATAGGTGACATTGCACTGCAGTTTTTTTTACCAGTCTCACCACCTAAAGTAATGATACCTTTGGGTGAATCGATTGTCTGTCGTTGGTGTTGTCAGTCTCATGGACGGTCAGCATGTTAGGTGATGACAACCACACGAAGCCACTTAATAATCTGGATGATAAAGAATCTGAACAGTTGATGAGACGGTTCTATTTTTTGAGCTGCATCTTCCCTACGACTGATCGAGTGCCTTTTGAATGAATGATGCTGAGTAATCATCCCGTTGTGGCATATTCGTTGGGCTTAGTCAAACAGTCCAAAAAACTTGGGGGAAGTCCCACACTTTCGAATTTGCCGATAAAGTCCACTTTGTTGCACACAAAGGTCAAGAACTGGAGCACCTGAAAATCCTCGTTGTGGGGACTAGGATGCTACTCAAACTAAAACTGTGCGTTACAGAACTTTCCTCCAAAAAAGTCCCTACGACACCAAGAACTGGGAAAAGGCGTAGTCACTAATTTGTATGACCCGATGGATAATAACGGTATTTCATTAGGCCATGCTCAAGAACCTCAAATAGGTCCATTAATACATGCAGCTTGATGCTACTGACTGGAAGCCCTGGAATTTCACACAATCTACCGATGGCAGTTGTAACGATGCTCGATCCAAATCTACTGTGACGTCACAGCTCATGAAGACTAAACAAGAGCATGCTTAGTTGACCTCAGCTTCAATCCACTAGTTCAACGTGACCAGTGATGCATTTACGAGAATACCGACCTCACACTAGTGAATTCCATTGGATTCCCTGTTCCTTTTGTCTCTTGTGGTTCTGATCCTTCTTCTCTTGACGGTCGTGCCTCACGGTGATCTAAACAAACATCAATAAGGCCACGTTTTAACGCGTTCTTTCATCAACATTAGAACCACACAAAGTACAATCTATTTAGTTTTGTTCGTACTCATGTGTTTTTAGTTCTTTTAGCTTCCATTACGGTTACTCTTTGAGTTGTGCTGATTCGCCCACGTTGCCTCCGACTTTTCGTTGAAATGCCGATGAAATCCGTGTCTGTTCTAGTTGGTATCGTAGCCGGTGGTGCGGCTTTCCATAGCAAACATGAGTCTGTCTCTAACAGTGACCAGGTGCGTCATGTTGAGGTCGTATACTGAACTTTCGATCAGTTTTACTCTAGTGTCAGTCCCCTCCGGTCCGTTCCGGAGTGACTTTATTCGTTTTCGGCAAGAAATCAGACTATGAAAACTAGGAGTCCTAGAAAGCCCGTTTCCGGAACCTTACCACCGCAGTAAAATAGATCACCAGTTCAGGAAAGAATGACTGCAGCATACATGGATGAGTGGCGAATGTGCTCCTGAAGCACCGAGCGCTAAGCCTGCCAATGCCCGGCGGCATAACCAAGACCGAACAGGACAGGCTCCGTGTGTATGAACAACTGACCAAGCTGGACACAGCATGCATTACTTAAGCTCGATAGCCAATAATTCAGGGACATCTGCTGGCAGCTCACTGACAACACTAAGTATGGTCACAATCCGGCTTTGTTGTCTGTTTCGACGACCTAACTTATCCAAAAAGTCGCAACTGTAACTTGCTTTCTCTTTATAGCTTTCTGTCTCAGTTGACGCGATTCTTCATTATGTTCCCAAATATATGTCGTGACTTACAGAATTTGATCGATCGTATAATCATTGCATCAACCACGCGACCTTAATTCGCTTAAGTATCACACACCGAAACCGGTTAACAAATCGATCTCACACCCACAATGTGGCCGTGACATCACTTGATTCATGTCATGCTATTTCTTATTAACACCCCATGGCTTCCAATGTTGGGCCACTTGTTTAGGTACGACGTCGCGTGAGGTGCACACAAAAGCCATAGATATTTTTGCAGGTCAAAGTTATCGTACACAACGTAGTAACAACCCTGAATCATATAACTCCTATATTCGTTCCACTAAATGTAGGGGACAAGATAGGTTTGTCACAATTTCGATCTAACTTGTTTATTAATAGCAAAATCTTTTCATATACCAGTGCTTCGTGTAGTGCGTAAGGCTTTTGAGAAGTGCTCACACATCTAGCTGACGGATAAATGTAGCTCAGCGTGACTCAACCTGTTAAAAGGTGGACCCTCGCGGGTTAGTACTTGAAAAGGACTTTTTGGGTTCCCACTGAACAAACCCATTCCACCATCGTTACGAAGAATTGTACCATTGCATTTCCTTACACTAGAAAGTTATTTGTCCATTAGAGCGCAAATTGCCTGACCAAAAGATCCACGGTTCGAACCTGACCTGCGCATCTCGACTTTCCCTGTTTAAGCTTGAGTACCTTGGCCGTATACGGGCCTTTGGGCTTCTTTCGGGTGGCATAGCATAGGGTGTTACAGCTGAACGATTTTATTTGTCCAGCCTCCGTATTGTCATCGTCTTTATCCATATACAGTTTCAATTTGCACTGTTAGACTTTCAAATAAGTCACGGTTGTACGGCAGCGAAGCATCGGTGTTGAACACTGATGATGATGATGATGATGATGTTGGACTGCCGTCACATTCTCAATTGTTCGGGCTTAGATACAATTATACGTCAGCACATTGTGTACCGTAAATGTGCAACACTAGTGGTGAAAATGCTTTTTTTCAGTGAGGCACAAGACACCGGAGTGCTTAAAGTAGTTCAACCTTTGGTGGCTACAACGATGGCAGAACAGCATTCTGGGGAACCAGTTTGTAACATACGGTCTCCCGTTCAGAACCGGCTGAGCCCGCAACCTCACACTTGTTTTCCTGCAAGCGGAGCACAACGCCAGATATCTGGATTGCATTGCAAGCCGACTACCTTTTCCGGTCGAAGACTTGTTCATCCTTCTGGCATGAGCCAAGGTGAAGTGACTTTTTGTCCCCCAGGGTCGGGTGTCATCGGTGTTGCTGCCAACCTTCATATCGGTGGTCGACTGGCTCCTCTGGAACGCTCCCGGCCATGCACCAATGCGCCAAACAACTACCCTCAACTGTCAGAGGATCCCATCACTCAAATATGTCCCTTACCTGTTCACGGAAGTAATTCTGTACACCTAGGTGGGCCACGCAACAAAACTCATCACTTACCATCTGCAAATGCATCCTCCTGTGCACACAATACAGTTGGTCCCACTCCCTTGACCATATCGGTTAGTGCGGTGGTTGATCCGCAGCATGGCAGGAGTTGTACACTTCCACCTTTGTGTAATACCACCCAAACCCTTTCAACATTAGCCGGGCAGAATGCGCCATCTCATGCAGGAGCATCGGTGGGCAGCCTACCAAGTACAAAGGTTCAGCACAACCAATATGCAAGGGCTGGAGCCCCAGTACAAACTACAATTTCTACTACTACGCATTCTAACCTTCAGCACGCTCTCCCACTACAACATCAACATACCCCGGCTCTTCGGGTCACCAATTCCAACCTCGTTACCCAGCAACTGAATAATAGTGGAATGGTCAATCCCGCATCTAAAAGGCATGTTCGATGCAGACAACTCAGTGGTGTAACACAGACGAAGATCAGCAACGTAAGTTTTCATTCTACCGCCTTTACTCAACCAAACTAACTGCCCGTTGAGGATTCTCACATAATGGAGCTTATATTAATGCCTTTGTCTTGGATAAAAGGTGCGACGCATCACCCGGAAGCCTTTTTGGTGGAACCTGTTTTTTCATCGTTTACAATTAACCTATAGTCACCTGACGCTGATTCGTTTCAAGCACTGTTATTATTCTCTATGGCGATAGGCTGTCACCTATCGAAGATGGTATTTAGTGAGAATTTTTCCTTATAGGGGGGATGATATTGCTTGAAAAGAAGCCAGTAGGACCCAGTAAAAGATGCGAAAGATTCCACTTTTATGGAAGTAAAGTTCGACCTTATAATGGGTGACCAGCCTTCCTGTTGGAAAATCCTACCCTGGTGGTTTTTTTTTCAGGCTCCCAGGTAGACGAACCAGTTAAATCCAATTGTTGCAACGCGTTTTGTCCAAACTACCGAGCAATAAATGAGAATAAGTTACTGCCTCAGCTGAGTGCTGGTAAACTGAAGAAATTGCAGAAAATCGCGCGCGTTCTGAGTGCTTTCACTCAATACGCAGTTTGTAAGAAGATTTTGCATTCGTCTTTTGTGACGACCACCTAAAAGTGGACCCTCTTGAAGGTCTTCAACAGCCCTCCGCACTATAGGCTATGCTCATTCCCTGTCAGCGGTCCACTCACAAAGGACTGCTCTACCGGGTGATTACGGATGGTACCAGAAGAGGCAGATTGGATTGTTTTTTACTGTTTAATCACGTGTGAGTACACGAGAACAACGAAAGACTTACCCTTATGAAAACGTTTATTCTGCACTGAGGTGAGTATCCTTCATAATGATGAGAACCCCAGCTCGCCCGTTAAACAAGTGCGAGGAACAAATCGGTAGTCTGCAGTGCGAGATTTTCACGCAAGCATGTCTCAAAAATTCATTAAAAATCTAAAGAATCATAGAGGATACCTGTTTCTTTCAGAAAACGGCTACCGTATGCTTCCACCTACAATCCAGGTCTGGATGCTTCAGTGAGAGTATATGACCCACGGGTCCATGGTCCAAACTCAGCTTCGTCTTTTTGATTGCTTCCCTTGAGGCTTCAGCAGTTTGTTAATGACTCATTCCCCGAAAGGGTGCTGCAGCTGATATTTCTTACAGTAGTTAAACGAAACATCACTGTTAATCGATTTTTCACAAATCAGATGTATACCTATAGGTCATCTATTGCTGCGCGCATTTTCCTATGGAGCAGCGCAAATGAAGGGAACTCCGAAATGCCCACAACAGCATTCTTCTACTAATTTTAGTTTTAAGCTTAGATCAGGTGCTAGTCGTAAACGTTTGACGTAAAGCTCATTTCCTTTTAACCGCATCTCTGGTTGCAGTTAAAACTGCCTGTTGCCGAGTGCCGTTCATAAATACGTACCCGTACCTAAAGCTTGGCACTTTGAGACATACTCAATTCTTGAGTTTCTTATGAAGCAAGTAATACCTGGTGACTGTGCGAAATCAATATAATGGATACTAGAATCAAACGAAGGAGGTATCAATGTATGGCACTTTCTTGCATCTACCTGATCTCCAGTGGCCTTCCGTTACCTTCAAGACATCTGGAGTTCCACGACAAATCTCCATCTGCGTATCGATCAGGTAGGGCTCTAGCATAACCCCGAAATATAATTTTAGACCCTGGTAAAAGCAACTCCACTTTGGTACACAGAACCCTTGACAATTGTATCACATTGATATAGGTAAAATCTCACTTTAGTGCTTGTCCACATCTGCTATGCAATGCTGTACAGAAAAGTTTCTTGTTACCCAGGAGAAACTAGTGTCAAGAGAGAAATGGTAAATATCGTACAAAAGTTATGATAAACGGTATCTGCAAATCAACAGGTTGACATCTTAGAAGGGCTTTTCATGAGATAAAAACTTAGCATCGGTTGATTCAACTTACCACCAACATAGCAAGTGGTGTTATGTGTCTCATGTAAGCAATTCAACCCATCGTTTAGATCATACATATATAAATACGGATCCTATCTATACACGGTGGGTGAACTACCGAAAAGCGAAGGAACAAATTATCTCCCGGACCTCTAAATTCAATGTACTTTATCCGAACACTTGTGTCGCAGAATATAGTGTCCGCGATACATTGTTTATGAATTTGTCGACATAAAGTTGTCAGTTTTTAGCTCAGTAGACGAAAAAGTGTTGAGCACGGTTGTAATTCGTAAAGTATCTCGCAATGATACAGGGTTGTGCGGTTTTTGCTTAGGACTGTGTGTTTTCGCAAATTTTTTTAGGAAAACGGAGCTAGAAAAACAGTTCCTCTTTATCCGCTTTTTATAATGGTTAGGTGAGTATGCCGCCTCATATTCCATATCTCTTCCTCCTGCCTTGGAGGACCACATCGAGGCCTGTACATGGAACATGGAAATATCTTCAGGCATTTAACCCACGATGGTTCGTTCAAAACAACCATCTGATCTTGAATTTTATTCTTACACTGCGTTTTTCAGAAAAGTACGTCAACTGTTTTGAGCCAACCAAAAACCTGTCCCCGATATTGGCGTCCACACAGTTCGATATCTCTTCCATGGATGGTTGAAGAAAGCCGGATCAACCATATCGACCGATCAAGGTCTACACTGATGCTTCCCAGCTTCACTGTAGAGGTGGAACATAGCAGCTCAAAAAGATGTGAGTGTAATCTTAAATATTAGATTTACTATAACATTTATTGCAATCTCTGTCGTTACCACCGCAGCGCTAATCTTCATTCTTGTCCCAACTTTCCTTATTGGTAACCATGACATCGCTGGGGCGAAATTTTCACCTGTGAGCTAGGTAACCATAAATCATGTTATTGGTCGGGTCGTCCTGAACCCTGTGGGCAACGGTCACGAAAGCATGGCGTCAACTCAAGGAGTTGACTGAAAATCCAATTGTTTATTATCTTCGATATTTGTTACACCTTTAGTGTTACACCCTTTAGTGTAATCAGTTCTCGTTGTCATTTGGAGTCTAGTTTACCGCTCGCCCGATGGCACATGCACCGTACATGAGGGCACTTTTTCTTTAAAAAAAATACCATCGCTTGGCCCAGAGTTGCCAAACATTGGGATTCCTCAACAGTTACAATTGTTTAAGTTTTTTTTTATTCAGACAGTGGTTTCTACGAGTATCCTCCTGATTATTACACATAACATTTAGGTTACCCACAACTATGGTATTTATTTGTCTGTTCAAGTAGTTTCATTTGGCTAGTTTGTATACTATTTACCAGAAACTCTACAAAGGCCAGTTAGTCACGTAAGTTTGGGTTGGCCTGGGACTTTGAAACGCTGTCTTATCGACTGCTTCACAGAAGCCTGCTACGAGTCTTTCATGGTGGGCAGCACGTACGTTCAAATTCCACGCCACAGAGCACCAAACTGCGTCTACAATGTGCTGCAATCCCTCGCTACAACCAGGTGCACTTTCTTACTGTGCAATAACCTGTCTTTTTCAACTGAAGTTACATTGTAACCGTCGAACCAACATATTCATGTAAAATGGAACCTAGTTTCTAGCGTTTTCAACGTGAACTCCGCACTTCATGTCTCTTCAAACATCAGACGGACGAAGTATGGATATCCGGGATCCCTGGATATCTGCATCGCCTGTTTGGGCCGATGATATTGTTAGGTCTGTTATATCGAATAATTCTTTTCCTGTGTCTGCAGTCCTCTGTTTGTCTTTTTTGATTGCACGGTTACTGAAAACTATGTAGCCATCCATCTGAATATTTTACACAGATGAAACTCAAGTAGAGACTTCTGTCATTTGTACAATCATGTAGCTTGTCGGCTGTAACACTGGTAGCTCTAAAACGGATGTTCTACACGTGTACAATCAACACTTACTAACTACAGAATAAAGTTATACAGATGCAGTCTACTTTTACCACTAAGGTCAATTTTTATCAACTGAACTGTGATGGGATAACCCTTAATCCTTGATCTATTTTGCCTACTGTTCCCACTGTATTCAGTGGGAACAGCACTTGTACTGTGTCTTGCACCGGCTTGGTCACGTGTTGTGTATGCCAGTCGACAGCCCTCTTCGAAGGACTCTTAGCAAAACCACGTGAATGGTGGAAGAGCCACAGGCGGTCCAACAATGACTTGACTCAGCCGGGCTGGTCATTTCCCTATTCCTGGATGAGAACCAAGGGATGGGCCATATCGCTGGTTAGCGACACTGTCAGGCATGGCCCACTCTCGCCCTCAATGGCGCTCGTGCATCCAAGCTATTGCCTTCAATGAATAGTTCCCTTCCCCATCTCCCCACTTAACAGTCCATTGACAGTAGTGTATTTACGCACTAATTTATCAGCCCCCGCCTAAAATGCGTAACTACCTTCCCCACCTTCCCGAATCATCGGTGAACGAAACTGAGGCAGCTACAACCACTGTACGACACATAGGCGGTTATTACAGCTGACAATGATGATGATGATTGTGCCTTTTTCTGAAAAGGAGTAGAAACAAACGCGACTTTATAGCATAAGCTGAATTTCTAAGTCTATATCTCACAGGTAATCTGCACCTTCCTATGGTCATATTAGCAGGGAATTCGTGAAAGTGAGAAGCTTTAGATAATCCTAGTAATGTATTGCACATTACTTGTCTGTACATAAATGACGAAGAATCCATTCACATATGCATGTTCAATATGTAAGATTTTGAAATTGTATTAGTTGCTTACAATGGTTTCGGCGCTTTTTCAAATCAAGATATTTTTTTTGAGATTCCCCATTAGGTTAGTTACCCAATTAGAGACGGAATTATATTGGAATGCCACTCAATCACTACGCTGTCGTCTGTATCGTGTGCAACGACCAACTTAGTTTGTGAGCTTCTATGTTCACTTGTCACTTCCTCGGTCCCCAGGCTTGTGCGTGCGTCAATCCGGTCTCAGCTTTCCTAGTTCTCGTAACCATAGCAACTTTAACGCTACCTTTTCACTTCTTGCTACACAGATAATTATCGCTATTCTCTTTTATTTGCATTGAGATCAAAAGGATATTTGATGCATATCTTCGTGGGATTCAGTGTCCGTACTCCGTAATGGCCTGGTTTTATTGCTATAATGTAGAATAAAGTTATACAGATGCAGTCTACTTTTACCACTAAGGTCAATTTTTATCAACTGAACTGTGATGGGATAACCCTTAATCCTTGATCTATTTTGCCTACTGTTCCCACTGTATTCAGTGGGAACAGCACTTGTACTGTGTCTTGCACCGGCTTGGTCACGTGTTGTGTATGCCAGTCGACAGCCCTCTTCGAAGGACTCTTAGCAAAACCACGTGAATGGTGGAAGAGCCACAGGCGGTCCAACAATGACTTGACTCAGCCGGGCTGGTCATTTCCCTATTCCTGGATGAGAACCAAGGGATGGGCCATATCGCTGGTTAGCGACACTGTCAGGCATGGCCCACTCTCGCCCTCAATGGCGCTCGTGCATCCAAGCTATTGCCTTCAATGAATAGTTCCCTTCCCCATCTCCCCACTTAACAGTCCATTGACAGTAGTGTATTTACGCACTAATTTATCAGCCCCCGCCTAAAATGCGTAACTACCTTCCCCACCTTCCCGAATCATCGGTGAACGAAACTGAGGCAGCTACAACCACTGTACGACACATAGGCGGTTATTACAGCTGACAATGATGATGATGATTGTGCCTTTTTCTGAAAAGGAGTAGAAACAAACGCGACTTTATAGCATAAGCTGAATTTCTAAGTCTATATCTCACAGGTAATCTGCACCTTCCTATGGTCATATTAGCAGGGAATTCGTGAAAGTGAGAAGCTTTAGATAATCCTAGTAATGTATTGCACATTACTTGTCTGTACATAAATGACGAAGAATCCATTCACATATGCATGTTCAATATGTAAGATTTTGAAATTGTATTAGTTGCTTACAATGGTTTCGGCGCTTTTTCAAATCAAGATATTTTTTTTTGAGATTCCCCATTAGGTTAGTTACCCAATTAGAGACGGAATTATATTGGAATGCCACTCAATCACTACGCTGTCGTCTGTATCGTGTGCAACGACCAACTTAGTTTGTGAGCTTCTATGTTCACTTGTCACTTCCTCGGTCCCCAGGCTTGTGCGTGCGTCAATCCGGTCTCAGCTTTCCTAGTTCTCGTAACCATAGCAACTTTAACGCTACCTTTTCACTTCTTGCTACACAGATAATTATCGCTATTCTCTTTTATTTGCATTGAGATCAAAAGGATATTTGATGCATATCTTCGTGGGATTCAGTGTCCGTACTCCGTAATGGCCTGGTTTTATTGCTATAATGTAATAAGTAATAATTCGTTGAAATGCGCGTCTGTCCACCAATTTGTCTCTGAAGTTCCTAGATGTTTTTTATGAAAGAAAAAGTCAAGTACGTATAATTCAGACCTTCTCATTTGTTTTTTCTAATATTTTGAACACCGCTTTAGTTATTCATTGGGAAGCGGGGCGTACGAGCGAGGACAAAATTCGATCGCTTGGTGACAGACTTAAGTGATGCACGCTAACATGCGAGACTGACCTGACCGCTTTGGAACCCGGATAAACACCTCTCATGTATATATGATAACAGTCCAAACCGTTTCGATTAACTCAGATTCTTCAGATATTAATCCTATTCTCGTTTGTTCTGACGCGCGTTTCTTTCGACCGGACGTATTTCTGAACCTGTTCCTCATTTTTCTTATCTACAGAACCTACTTGTAACTAGTCAGTAACGGTTGCACACCGGCTCAGTCCGTAAAGACTCAGGTCTGTATTTTTGAACATCGCTTTGACACTATACGGATTAGACTTCCAGCCGTGTCTTTTTTATTTTCTCCAATGTGCTCCCGTTCAAATATCACAAAACTATCAAGACGAAAGAGATACAGCTCGCCTGGCGAGCCTATAGCAAAATTGTGTAGGTCAAAATTGAATGTGCTAGCCTCAGTCCTCTGAAGAGTGGCTACCGTCCAGGAAATTACAAGAATGAGAACCTGGATAATAGGCGAAAAAAGTCAAGTGCCTGTCTAACTGGAGATTGAAGTATTACGTCATTCATCGTTTAGCCGTAACACTCTTTCGGTGC